GGTCCTACGAGATGCGAGGTAACTTTAGATATTTTCTCCCGCGAGTTCACAGGGAACCTTCGAACTATCTCGATCTATCGCATGCTTCGAGAGTGCTCGCGAAGGCCTACTCTCTCTCTCTCTCTCCTGTTCGTTACCTCAGACAGGTCTAGTTCGCGAAATTTCGACGCACCCAAGAGGAAAGAGAGCGGGAAAGAGAGGAAGGTTCAGAGGGTGAGAGAGGGTGAGAGAGGGTGGAGAAGGAAGGAAGGAGGAGAGAGAAAGCGAGAAGGATCCTTCGCATAGCACAGTGTACACTTCATGCTCGACATACTCCCGCGAAATTGGAGCTCTCTCTCTCTCTCTCTCTCTCTTTCGGAAATGCCGGGTTACTGCAACGACTCGTCCTTGCATTCATGCGTGCATCGGCCTGCCCTCGATGCGCTTTTCGATACGATCCACCCCTTCCGACCCGATCGTCTCGATTTCCTTCCCTCTTTCTTGTGTTTGCTTCGCCGGTTATTAGTGCACGATTAGTGCGCTCGTTCACGCGTGCTCACTTTTGCGTTTTCCCGCCGCACGAGTCATAAATCCGGGGGTTTTATTGGGACAGATTAGCGAGATTCGTCGTCAACGTGTCGTGCACGTGCCGCACTAAAAGCCGAATTCCCCGCCGTGGCAACAATCTCGCGCGCGATTATTATTACGGGAACGGCGCCCCGTTTTATTACATACTTCAAATGCTCGGGTCCACTCCGACCGCTCCGTGAATTCTTCCGTGTATACATTTAGAAGCGGATATTTCTCACACGAAAATGCAAAGTACCGATGCAGACACGATTCTCACGTAATTCCGGAGAATTCGCACAGTTTATGATGACGCTCTCTTTTTTTTTTTTTTTTCTTAATCGAAGAAAGAGATGAGAAGAAAGAGAAATTTCGCGGGGGAAGGAGGAACTTAATTCCCCGTGGAAAATTCGATACTCATTTGTTGTCGAGCGGGAAGCAAGGAGAGGGTGTATTTTGATGAATAAGTAATCAGTCGGTCGGACGTAACGTTCCGCGTTAATCGCGAAATTCCACAAAACAGTCGGTCGTTTGTGAGAGCATTAATTTAAATGCAAATCTCACAATCGCACTTGATTCTCGACGGCGTTGGCAGTCGTGCTGTGGAATTCTTGATTTTTCATCGCTAGAACGGGGGGGAAACTTCGTTAACTCCGGCTTTTAAGCGCGCGCCCGCCACGAGAATTAATTCTTTTTCATCGTGCAAGCGCCGCCGATGCGGCGGAAATGCAAAATGGCGAGGGCCGATATCGATGGTTTCGATTTAATCGAGCCGCGAGCAACGAGTAAAACATTAACATCTGGCGCAAGCGAGACACGTGCCACTTGGAAATATGTTTGTTTTATTTAACGGCGTTGTTTTAAAGTGAAATATACACTTGCGAGATAAATATTCACTTTCGCAAATAAATATCCATACGCAAAATGTTGGTGAAAGGGAACTCGATTTCATGCAAATGTTCGTATGCGCATCTCTCTTAACTATCTTTCAAAGTTTTCTATTTCAAAGTTTTCTACATCGAGAAAAAGATTTCCTCAAATTTAATAAATTTTACTGACATGCATTGACATGCTCCAGAGAAACTAGTGTTTCGATTAATAAGCACGATTGTTAGACTTTCCAACAAAAATATGTGTCTTTGTTTTAAATAAAAAATTTGTTTGAAACGAAAGATAATTTTCTTATAAAGAAATTATTTGTTTCATTTTACATATTTATCGTAAGCAAATAATATTTTATTCGGTAATAGTTTATTCGGTTAAAAGACATTATTTCAAATAATAGCTTTCTGTTAAATAATCGAGTTTTCTTGAATGGGACAATAACATTTTTCACTCAAACAAATAATATTTCGTATATGTTGTTTCTATGGGACGAAATTTTTCGTCGAATAAATAGAAATATTAAATCAAAAGAAACCTTTTTCTCCCCGTGCAGTAATTATTTTCTGTTTTATAATTATTAACACTTTAAATAACGGTAAAGCAAATCGGACAGTGCGAACATTGGGAAAGATCGTGCATCGTCGTTACGTCAGCGAAAGTCTCGATTTTTCTCCTCACTCGCCGATAATACGCTCCCGAATGATTTTCGCGCATGTTGTGCGCCACGATTAAGGCTAATATCTGCGGAATGCATCGAGGCCGAGTGTAATGTGCAATGTATGCTGCTTTTTGTCCGTCGGGCGCAAAAAATTTTACGCCGGTGTGTGTGTATATGTGTGTGTGTACGAACGCGTGTCGCGATACGTCGGCATCGAACTAGGTCGATTATCTATCCACGTGAGCTACATCGCTCGGTGCTCGATACGCGAAGCTGTCAGGGCGTATGTGTAATAACAATACCGACAATATGTCGCGCGGGCTCACCCGGGCGAGAGCAAGCTCTCTCTTGGCACGAGATCCATGGATCTCCGGAAGAACGTCGAGGATGGCCGGCGTATTCTCGGCGTTTAGACCGGACTTCCGATGGCAACGGGCAGAGGCAACGGCAGCTAATAAAGTGTCGAGTAAATAGCACCGTGGACGTGATCACGACGTTTCTCGAATGGGGTCCGACTGGTCGGGGAAAGGTACACGGGACCTCGTTTTTCAAAGAAGAAGCCCGAGATGAGGCGGCGACGATCGCGCAAACCTTCCCACTCGCCGTGAGAGCGAAGGCTTTCGCGCGTAATTATCCAGAGGCGTCATTACGCCGTCCTGCACCTGATGTTTACCAAGTAGCATTTAATTTCTCTCTCTCTCTCTCTCTCATAAGAGAGAGAGAGAGAGAGAGAGAGAGATGGAAAATCCGCTCGAAAATCCGTCTGAGGAATCGCGGGCCGCGCGGTTTCGCGAGAAGGTGGAAGTCGATTGCCGAGAGCAGATTCGCACGAAATCGCGATTAAGAAACGGAAGAAGGAGAAGTTGATTCGATTACGACGTTCCGTCGTTCATCGTTGGTGACACGGCAAATTCCATCGAGTCGTTATCGTTAACGCGGCAAGTATGGCGCGGTTTCGGCGGAGAGCCGTAGAAATTTTACCGCACCGTCGAGTCGCGCGTGTTATTTCGTCTGCGATCGTGTGACGAAACGAGCCTGAAATCAATCGGCCGATGTATCGCGTTATCGCTGCAGTCCTCGCACTTGTGTCTACGATATTTGTAAAAGAACGTGAAGATGTCAAACGGTTCTTCTTCGATCGAATAAGACAAGGTAATTACCAGTCCTTCGTCTGATTCGTGCTGATTGCCTCTGTATTGAGCTCGTTCGTAATTATTATTCCTCGGAGTTTCCCTCCCACGACCAGAACGTCGCGAGATCGGCGAGATTGGTAGCAATATCGCACGGTATCTTGGTTTTCGATACGATATCGTAAATTTCCAATTCAAATTTTCTCAGCGAAAGAGAGAGAGAATAAAGTAGAGAGAGAGAGAGAGAGAGAGAAGAGCGGCAGACGATTAACAAGGTAGTCAGCAATCACATTTAATTATGGTATCAGAGCAGTACAAACAGGCGAGTTGGTACGCGTGAAGGATCGGGAGATCTTGAGTTATTCCGGTAACTCGCGCTTCAAGCTATCCATTCGTCGATCCTCAGCCACCCCGAAGATGGATTTTCGTGGAACTCAATAAAGCCCAAATTAATGACGAGCGTCTGCCAGTCTCTCTCTCTCTCTCTCTCTCTTCTCTCTCGTTTCTCGCCGACCGTTCGTTTCGAAACGGTGCTCGGAAGGGAGTGGAATAGGATAATGCGGAATGCTCGAGTTTGTCAACCCTCGCGCGCGGACTACGTTGCGCATCGTCGCGGCTATTACTGTATTGTTGGTACAAGCCAAATACAAATATGGAGGGTGCGGAATCGAGCGATATAACGTTTCCTCTTTATTAAATCCGTTCCCTTTCTCTTGACCTAGTCTTCCGGATCGGCCCCATTGTGTACGGCAGAATTAACCCTCGAGTTCGAGATACCTCAGACCTTGCACATGTCACGTCGCCCAAGAAAAGATTCGCGGGGATTTAGGCGGACGAGAGAAAGCGAGGGAGTGCCTCTCTCTCTCTCTCTCTCTCTCTCTCTCGCTCGCTCGCAACCGCTTCGATTACTAGCGCGATTTTATCAAGTCGTTTAGATGCTGAGATTACACGTTGTTAACAAAAAGGGGAGGATGACGGCGTGAGTCGAATCTCCCGGCTATCAATGTTTAAATTTCGATTAATCTCTTTAACCCTTTAACCCTTCGTTTTACGGATCATACAGACTCGGTTAGTTGAGTTTGAAGAGCTATAGAGCGAAGAGAAGCGCGTGATCTGAGAGTTCTCCCCATTCCGGAAAAATCGCTAGAGAGTCGCTCTATCCGTTAGACGCGGATCCGAATTTAATACGTGTTTGGGAACCACCAGAATTTGACGCAGGCTCAATTAGACCTCTAATGTACAGTCGGTAACTTAACGCCAGAAATGAAGTGATTCTTTCTTTGGTGAAAATTCGTGTGTGAACGTAAGTAAGCGTTGTGATTAGGCATATTTTTTTTGAAAATAACAAATAATGTTATATTAAGTATAACCTATATGACGCTGCATGCGGTGCGAGCGACTTTTCAGAAGCGCGCGGTCGAAAGGTTAACCTTGCGGAGTTTACTCGCACGATTGACAGTGTATAGTTATGATATATATGTTGGAGGACGGAGTGGCGTTTAAAGATAGAAGAACGTATGGCGAGGGAAAAGGAAACGTCCTCATAAGCGGCGAGACATAAAATTAAGGCGCAGTCCCGGTCATAAATCTCGCTTCCACGACTGATCTGGAAGAGGAACGTCGCGCTTCTCATGATTATCTCGAAGACATATCTTTATGGACGGGTAACATGACGGCGGACAAGGCTCGGCCCTATATAATGCCAAATATAATGCTTTGTTTCGGGATGGATTTACATTATTAAGTAACGTTTGAGTATGTATCGAAACGTACGCGCATACCTTGAGCTGTAAAGTACTCTGCCGTCCTGGTACAGCCTGACGAACTTATTCGGGCTGGTAATCGTATGCAAGTAACTGTACTTGCCGTTGTAGAAGTACGTGTCGGGCTTCCAGATCCTCGCCAGCATGGAGATGCTCAGTGCAAGCGTTTCCTTACCGCCTTGGAAAGCCAAGCGTCGGTCGACCCACGACTGCCGGAAGTAACAGTCCATCGAGTACGTCTGTGGGGATTTGGGGATTCGATTAACTCGCTCGTACCAATATCTACACGTGCCATCATTGTTAGCGTTCATACCTAGAAAACTAGACACTTTACATAGACGCGTTTCGCATCGCTATTCGATATTGATTACTGTAACATTTAATATTAAATATTTCCGTCAAATTGTCATCTCACATTTACGTTAAACATACGCGCTTCTATTATATTCTTGATAGATAAATCAATCTCAGGGAATCGATCATGTAATTTCCTTCGAAGTAAAATCATTCTCACGAGTTCACTGAAAGTGGATTTAATATATAGTATATTTAATATATAGTATATTTAATATAAAGAAAATTTGAAATTATATATATATATAAAGATAAAAGTCTTCGTAGAAACTATATTTTCCATTTCTTTCGAGAGTAAAAAGATGCGCGTAATGCTGAAACGTCATCGAGTTTACACTGATCGACCTCCCGGTTCAAGCGACTCCGAGTGAAATTGCGGTTGCTTCGCGCCGCGCGCTAGAAAAAAAAATATGACTGACCATATCCACCTCGGAAATGGGACCCATGCTGCGTACCATGATATCGACTTCGACAGTGGCCGGAGGTCCGCCGAAGTCCGGTCTGATGCTGTTGTCGTAGCCGCGCAGCAGATTGTCCAGCAGATCGCTGATGTTGCTGTGGTTGTTGCTCTGCGTGCGCTGCCTAGCGGAAGTTCTCGCAGCCGCTCTGACACAAGCAATTAAACGAGCTAACGAGGGAAAATTTCGAAGTGTCCGAGATTTCGAGCGAGCCTCGATTGCGCCCCGATTATTGCGGAGAGGTCAAAAATTCCATCTATCCCATTTAACCCTTTTCCTCCCACATAACACAAATTTTTTTTTAAACTTTCAACCTTATATCTTTTAACGAAAAAATCATATGAAAATTTATCAAACATCATTTCTACGCCGGACAAGCTTTTGGGTCAAGTCGTGTCGATAAGATTCTCTTTCCTCTCTTTGCCTGCACGACCTGCTTAAAATATCACGACGGTCACTAACGGTATATCTTCATGGATATATGAGCTCATACACGCTCCACTTCAGTGTAATGTGCGGAGCACGCAGGACGCGGCCTGCCGTCCTTTCGAAGACGCTTACTCGGTACTTCCCGGAGGAGCCGTTGCTGTTATATTCTGCACATTTGAAAGTTAAATGGATTTTTGAAACTTCAACGTTGCGATCGGGTGATACGGAGAATCTTAATTAAGGAGTTAAGTCATGCAAGCTCCTCACTCGTTATATTCTCCTGATATGATTCCGTAAAAATTTCGCAGCATCCGGAATATATCGGAGTTTAGTTTGGTATTAGGAGAACAGGATCAGCGAGAAGGTTAAGACGTTGAGTCATGCAAGTTCCTCGCTCGTTATATTCCCCTGATACGATTCTGCGAAAATTACGCAGCATCCGGAATCTATCGGAGTTTAGTTTGGTATTAGGAGAACAGGATCAGCGAGAAGGTTAAGGCGTTGAGTCATGCAAGCTCCTCGCTCGTTATATTCTCCTGATACGATTCCGTAAAAATTTCGCGGCATCCGGAATCTATCGGAGTTTAGTTTGGTATTAGGAGAACAGGATGAGCAAGAAGGTTAAGGCGTTAAGTCATGCAAGCTCCTCGCTCGTTATATTCCCCTGATACGATTCTGAGAAAATTACGCAGTATACGGAATCTATCGGAGTTTAGTTTGATATTAGGAGAACAGGATTTTCACAGAATCGTGTCAGGAGAATATAACGAGCGAGGAGCTTGCATGACTCAACGCCTTAACCTTCTCGCTGATCCTGTTCTCCTAATACCAAACTAAACTCCGNCTCGTTATATTCTCCTGATACGATTCCGTAAAAATTTCGCGGCATCCGGAATCTATCGGAGTTTAGTTTGGTATTAGGAGAACAGGATGAGCAAGAAGGTTAAGGCGTTAAGTCATGCAAGCTCCTCGCTCGTTATATTCCCCTGATACGATTCTGTGAAAATTACGCGGCATCCGGAATCTATAGGAGTTTAGTTTGGTATTAGGAGAACAGGATCAGCGAGAAAGTTAAGGCGTTGAGTCATGCAAGCTCCTCGCTCGTTATATTCTCCTGACACGATTCTGTGAAAATCCTGTTCTCCTAATATCAAACTAAACTCCGATAGATTCCGTATATTGCGTAATTTTCTCAGAATCGTATCAGGGGAATATAACGAGCGAGGAGCTTGCATGACTCAACGCCTTAACTTTCTCGCTGATCCTGTTCTCCTAATACCAAACTAAACTCCTATAGATTCCGGATGCCGCGTAATTTTCACAGAATCGTATCAGGGGAATATAACGAGCGAGGAGCTTGCATGACTCAACGCCTTAACCTTCTCGCTGATCCTGTTTTCCTAATACCAAACTAAACTCCGATAGACTCCTCGCTCCTTATATTCTCCTGATACGATTCTGCGAAAATCACGCAGCATCCGAAATCTATCGGAGTTTTGTTTGGTATTAGGAGAACAGGATCAGCGAGAAGGTTAAGGCGTTAAGTCATGCAAGCTCCTCGCTCGTTATATTATCCTGATACGATTCTGTGAAAATTACGTAGCATCCGGAATCTATCGGAGATTAGTTTGGTGTTAGGAGAACGTGATCAGCGAGAAGGTTAAGCGATACTTCACGCAGACACGGCACGTTTTCAAGTTACAATTGCGGTCGGTAATTAATATGACATGGTAAAAAATTGAAACACTTATTTATATTCATCTTATGTATTATTACATAATGGTTATGAGCTATTTGTTTATTCCGCATCGGTCGGAGAGAGGTAGGAGGTAATTCCACATATTACGTAATATTGGAAGGGCGAAGGGAGGAGAAGTAAAAAATACTCAAGTTTAGTGTGTCGTAACTGTCGAATAGCCTTTATGTAATTTAGAGTGTCTCAACGCGTCTCATGCTTGAAACAGATTAATCGGTTGATTGATGCTAACAATATTCCGTGATTGAGTGAGATTTCCGGCTGCAAGGGGGGTCTAACTAATCGGAATATCGTTTCCTAAATGCCCGTGTACGTGTTCGAGCTCGCTCCTCGCGTGCAAGTGGATATACGTGTACGCACGGTGTATAAGCCGCGGTTTATTTTCGCTCGGTCGCATCGCGCTTCGTTGGTGTAAATTCGGCGACGGTTCTGTGCGGCCAGCGCGATTTAAACCGGCGAAACTCGGCACGAAAGTCTAATTACGCCAGGAGGATATTTGCAAAACATCGTAAATAAAGCTGCGCTCGCGTCAATAGCTTTCTTTTTTTATCTACCGCGCGAGCGACCTAATTTCCCGGTCCTTTATTAATTATGCAGCCCTGGCCGAGGTAATTTTTTTCACAACTTCGTTTGTTGTCAATTATTAACGCCAGACTTGGGATACGTTAGATGTTAGCTCTTGAACGTTTCTTCGGAAACTTGAAATTTTTCGTGAAAAAAATTGTGGGCGAACAGATGAAGAAAGAGTGACAAGTGTTGACGCTCGTTAATTGATCTTGGCGAAATTAGCTTGGCTAATTTCAGATAAATTGAGCTATATTCTTGCTAAGTTATAGAACCGCCGGCCGTTCACCCGATCGTTTCACATTCTCCAATATTTATTTGTAGCAATTATAGAAATGACAGGTACACGATGCGTCTCATTTGATTATTTCCCGGATTGATTTCGATTTATACACCAATTTTAAGGAGTCCTCATATCAACGTACGCAATCGTGTTTAACGCGCGTATGAAATGCAGTCAGCCTCGTATGCGTATATATTATATATGGCATCGCTATATGAATATAAATAAATATGAACTAGATAATCGGCGATATTTGCTTTCCGCGGGGGATGAGATATTACATTAATAGCTGTCGATAATACGCAATTAATTGGAGGATCGGTTCTGTCGCGTAACAGAATTGTCTGAGTAACGTTACGGCGACGGAATATCCCGACGATTCTCATATTCATGTATTCCGCGGCGAAGCCGCGCTTGAACGAAAGTGGATCTTGTTTACCGCACGTAAAAAAAAAGAAAAAAAAGAGAATACTTCCAATTATGAATTGGTCATTACTAGAGAGAGAGAGAGAGAGAGAGAGACACGGCGGGCAAGTGTATACATAGAGAGGTAAAGTTATTTATACGCTCTGTGAAAGCCGGCCGCAAACGAATGCGTAATCGTTCGCGTGATTCATGACGACGAATGCAGATGAAAGGAAATCTTTCGGCGGCGGTTCGACCGATCAATTTCACGTAATTGTCATCGTTAAAATGCATAGGATGAAATGTGACGGGGATCGCCCCGCGAGAAAAGGTACTTACAGGAAGGAAGCGTAAGAGGTGATGAGGTTGACGAGGGCGAGCAGGACCCTCGGCTTCATAATGTCCCAAGCCGAATCCTCGCTTCCTTCGTGTGGGGATTCGCTCATCAATCCGGTTCAACAACAGGATCATTCGGTAATTCGCGCTGCAGGAGGAGAAAAAAGAGGAGAACAGCACAGCTGTGATAAATTTATACGACGCCTCCTCTTCTGTATTTCCGAGGAGAATTATTCCCTTCGTAAGATCCTCCCACGGGAAAGAAAAGATTAGCTTCAGCAGCTGAATTAGTTGTACACTGGGTGTCCCGTCTCAAGTGACGACCTCGAATATCTCTTGAACAGTGCGTTTTAAAGGAAAATGTTCCGGACGAGAGTCGTAGGATTTTGAAAGGGACATAAGATAGCGATCTTAACTTTGTTGCATAGTCAGTAACTCAAGGTTATTTCAAGACCAACTTTACCTTTTTTAACACTTTCACAACCGCTGACACCAATGTGGTGTCATGGGCAGGCCAGTCGTATGCCGGTGACACTCATGTGGTGTCATTGGTAGGCCAGTCGTTATTTGCCGGTGACACTCACATGGTACCATTGATAGGCCAGTCGCTATTTGCCGGTGACTCCCACGTGGTACCAGTGGCAAGCCACTTGCAAAACTTTTCTTAGCACGTCAGATGCTTAAATGATGCACAATTTTATTACGCAAAACCTTTTGACTACTAAAGAATCTGGAATCTGACTACTAAAGAATATTGTTGTATAATAATGTTGATTATTGATTTATAATAATAATGTTAATTGTTTCATGAATTTACGTAAAGTTTTTTCTTCCAAAATATTGCCGGCCACTGGCGACGTTTCACTGCGCTAACATGCGGTTGTGAAAGTGTTAATGGAGCTTTTTTTCAACATAACATGTCGTAAATGACGAATTTACGATAGTGCATTCAATGCTGCAAAAGTGTTACCGCAGCTAATCTCCTTTTTCCATGTTCGAGTAGGAAAATACTGTTGAAGAAATCTAGACTTATCTGAAGGAGAAAGAAATGCCACAAGGTTAGTGATTTTTTTCTTTCTTCTACTTTCCATCACGCATCTTTCTTTCGCGCGCGGCCCGTCGCGATTTCTCGTATCCCGACGACGAGGTGCGGCGATGAGTGACGCGGATCGACAATTTTTTCTCAATTGACGGCGTGAACGAGTAACGTCCCGATTGTATTCCCGGTGATAATGAAGGAGGACGCGACGGGGTTGTCGCGAATCGATCGGCAACCGAAATCTGATTATCGATTCTATGAGTGACGCGTTGATAACGTCCACCCGGGCGCCCACCGCCGAACGAACGGGTTTCTCCTTCAGCGACAAACGAGGCGAAAAATAACGACCGAAGCATTCCGAAGCCCGATAATGCCGTTGAATTTTACTTTACGCTCCTGTGAACCGCGTTTCGTGTCTCCGCTCGTCGGTGGCTTCTCTAAACTTCGCGAGCAATAACTTTTCTTCAAAACATCCCCCCCCCCCCCACTTCCCCTCCNTCCTCGTTAATGTGTACTCCGACAACACAAATATGTCGAATGCTGACGTCACGCAAGCCGATCTAGGATGCCTCCTAATCTTTCAGGCGTCTTCCAGACGTCTCTTTCTCTCTCTCTTTTCTTTCCCTTCAGACGTCACTTTGGATTTCACGTTACTCGGCCTGCGGGTGTCGGCGCGCGACACAGCATTCGCTAAATAGACAGGTGTCGAATCAGTAAATCGACCGCGGATCTCTCGGCGTGTACGCGCTTCCCCGCGGCACGTTCGTGTCTCTGGAAAAGAGTTCGCAGCTGGGAAGGTAACATACACGTTGGAAAGCGAACCGCATCGTGGGCAAACAACTGTTCCTACACACACACACACACACACACAGGTAAATATACGGAACGTACGCTTTGAAAGATGTGGTATCATTCGCGACGCGACGATTAGGCAACCTGGGGTTTGATAATCAGCGCCGTTTGAGCACACCGCTTACGCAAACGGCAAACCCGACGGATTTTAATCGATGGACGCGTCTTGGAAAAACAGAGCCGCTCGGGAATTGATTTTCCGAATTACGTTCCACGGATTACACTTCGCGGGTAGGTTGGAGGTTTGCCTTCGACTATCGACTGTCGTTGAATCGAGGAGACGATAAACTGTGCAACATACCTCAAGATCAAAGCCATTGGGGTTGACTACTAAGCTGAATAATTATCGATGAAAGAATAATAGGTGATAACGATTCATTCGATCATTCGACGATTATTTGACCACGTGGAAAGTTGTAAAACCGCGTTCACAACAACTTCAGGCGAAACATGGAAAAATGATTTTTGGGGTCTCGAGTCACTGGGCGTTATCGGGTGGACACGATCAAGCCCATTTTTCGAAAGGTTTTTCCCGAAAATATTGACACTCGTGCGAGCCTTCGAATATTCGTCAGATACTCATAGAATATCTTACCCTGCGATCTCCGGGGAAAGGGGGAGAGAAAGTTTGAAGCACATAGATACACTTTTCGGTAGGGAACCGACCGTAACTCTGCGAAATAATGCACAAGGTGACGCCTTGTTGCACACTGCCTACCCATCTACGTTCGTTATAATGCAAATACGGGATAAATTGCGGCGTATGCACACGAGGTATCTCCCTGTCAGAGGCAGAGAATAGGTAAGTCACACGTTGTTTAACGAACACGCGAGAAGCGCGTGCGGGGGGAGGGGGGGGAGGAGCGTGGAGAGGGTAGCGGCGCTCTCCTTAAAGTTTAACTCGTAATTCGAGACCGAGGCACCGTGAAAATCCGACGCTGATGTATCCCCGACGTACTACCCGTTGCCGCGAAAAGTCGCGGTAAGACAACATCAATTTTCCGTGCTGTGGAAACGTGCGGCAAAGCGGCGCATCCTGGGCGCCAAATGTCGTTCGCGTTTTGTATCGTCCGTGCGATTCAGAAAGATCATCGTCATCCTCGTGAAATATCTGGGGAACGTCGGATTCATCGATGACGATTGAGGGCTTGCGACAATTCGTCGGGGTCATTGCGAGCTTTTCATCGCGAATGACTAACAACGGTGTTTTAAATACACGGAATAAGCAATTAATCAGCAGCTTGGCGGTAATAAATTTCGGGGCAAGAGCGTTTTCTCCCCGACCGTATTGTCGCGTGATCGACCAGTTTAAACCGCGGGATACGAGGGTGAACATCGAGATGCCGAATCAGGAGAGAGAGAAAAAAAGAGTATCGCGTTGAACAGACGAAGAGTATCGGTGACAAACGGTGACGTCTCAGCGACAACCTCCACCCGAACGACGAGATGCTCCGGCGAAATTCGCAGTGTTCGTGAGAAACGGCCCGCATCCTCCGGCGGGTTTATCGAGCTCGTTCGTCGAGAACGCGACGGCGAATGCGATCGAATGTTTTTCGGCTTTCGAGCATTCGTCAGGTGAGAGAACACCACAGCTGGCGGCCGAGTGTCAAAGTGGCATCCGAAAATCGAGCTTCGCTCCCTAGTTTCATCGGTAACATCCAACACAATCCTGCGATGCTTATTCCCCCCATGCGTTATCGAGATCACTAAGAACTATCTCGGTACCTTGAAACGTCTCGATTCACCAGGTCTAAATTCGTCAAAGAGTGTCAATAAAAGTAGCGTCCGGTCGAGCGAATCGTAAATCGTGAGATTTACTACACGAGAATGGTCCGACCGTCGAGACCGCGACTTATGGCCCGCGTATTGGACGCGGTGATGAATCTCGGCGACAACAGGGGCCCGTCAGCTCGCGAAGTTCTCAGTTTCATCCGGCAGGGCAACGAGTCGCTGAAGAATCTGACGCTGCAGGTGACACAAACACGCTGATCACGTCGCGTCCTGGATGTCCTTCATTAGCGATTCGCTTCAAAGAGCGCCGCTCGAATGACGCGAACTTTCGACGAACTCCGCATAGGAGATTCTACATATGTTTCGGTTGCTCATTTAAACGTTCATATTCAAACAGAGATTTCCGAGTTTTCCAAATACCGAAATATCCTGATTACACACACACACACACACACACACACACACACACACAAAGTTGAAATGTCTCAACTTAAAAAGTAGAAATATGCATTTTTTCTTGGCGTCTTTTTTCGAATTTTTACACGAGCTGAACGCGGGAAACATTGGTTTTCAATGGAAAACACAACGTTTGATTTTCCCCGCAATTTGTCGCAAGCTCGCTAGAGAGCTGTTATAAACTGTCAAATCTAGCCGATAAAAAGCAGGAGGTAATTAGTTTGTTCCTTTTAGCTGGCTGCACTAGTTCACAAAGTTTGCGCTAAAGTGTTCTTTTCACCTGAACTGTCGCGAGGAAAGCGTGCTTTGTAGTGGTGACACCTGAACTAGCGCAGCCAATGAACTACCTGTTAGGTCCAAAGGTAGAACAAGCTGTGTAGGACTCGCATTAACCCGAGAAATTTCAGATATATTTGTCACCGTCACTTGAAGAAAGATTGTGATGAGGACGGAATCTACAAGAATGTAGTCTACAGACTACAGGCATTATAAACGGTATAAGTGTCAAATGTAAAAAAAATATAAAATAAGTATTTTCTGATTGATTTAATTAATATATAACGATCAACCAACTGAATTCATTAGAAAATATAAAACAGATTTGTTTTTATCGTAAAAAAAATAACCTTCTTTCAAATGTCGAGTTTTCGAAAAGTATGAGTCTAACAAATCTATCGGCTACTGCACTATGCCGTTCTTTTTAGATCCATGTATATTTTTACATCGCCTGCGCTATCTTGAACTAGCTTGAACCGGTCCAATGTAGCCCCGGATCAGCTGAAAAGAACAAACCTAAAATTTCAGTGAGATACCTTATACATTGCATTGACCGCTCAGGTGCATCGAGCATTAAAACACGCGGTGAACGCCGGACTTTTGAGACATAGAAGCGGACGTTACAAGGTACTAGCCACTATGAGTCCCGCTCCTGTTTCATCCGTAAAGGAACCGGCTAACAAGAATCAAAAGAGTGAAGAGAAGAAACTGAAGTCCGACGTACGAACGTCGATCGACGACTCGAGATCCCCTATTCGAACGCAGAAACGCAAGTACGTCGTCGTAGCATCGTGCGATATTTTCCTTAAAGGAATGCCACTACTACTTTGAAAACTTTGTCGACAGAATATTGATTTTTTTCTGCAAATTTTACGTCATTATTGGTCGCACAGATCTATAAATGTTTTTACACAGTGAGAGTATGCGCGGAAATGAATCGGAGCGTTGCTCAGTAAGTAAGAAAAATTACTAAAAAATGTCAAAATAACGTTTCTAATTATCGGTTAGCGCGAATATTTGCCTGATACAGGAATCCTGCAGCTTGTACATACCGAATGTGTCAACGCTCCGACCAGGAACATTTCAGAGAACATTTTTATATCTTTTCAACGAAATTCGGAGGTCTCGAAAGACACAAAAAGCGGAAACATTTTTATGGATCTCGGTTAAATGTTCCCCTAGATACGATAAAATAAAGTAGCGCACAATCATCGCATTCATATTTATATCGTATTAACATTTACATAAGATCTATATGTATGAGAAATTTAAAAAGAGCAGCGTAATCGCGTCAATTTCTGTAAGATAACATTTCATTGTCTTTACGTAATCGACGCTTATCAAGTTTGCCGTCGGCATATTTTGGCATCCGATTAAGGAAACATCGATGCTAAATTATTCATTATACCTTATCGTCACGTGAACCCTATTATATAAGTTTAAAAAATATCTTTTACAAATATATGCTACGATTATCTTGTACATAATGCATAGATGATATGCTAACGTTTACATATTTAATGTTCACTTATATAAAGACCTGCAAATTTACACAATGATTACTATAAGATCTTTAGATATGAAATAGGAATAAAGAAATAAATGGCCGATAATTATCTGTTAATTGTTTATGAATGCAGAAAAAAGTATACTTCGAGGAGAGAAATTATTAAACACAGTGATAAGGCGAAGAGTAAAAACCGGTCACCGCGCAATAAACAAGCTTACGCAACTATTCGAGATCAAAAGGTGAGCATAAGTAGCATTATTAAAAAAATATTTTTCCACTACAGTGACTTTTACATATTTTTACATTTTTATTGACATTTCAATATATTTGCCACATACATATATACCCACATTAGGCAGAAGTTACTGCTTGGTTACATAAATGAAAATATTAAAAAGTACTGCTCCTTCTTTTTTAGTCCAACCAACTGAAGAAACGAGCTCTTTAGGAGCAAAGCACGAATGATACAGTGCCATTAGAATATTAATATTGTCAGTATTAATATTATTTGTGTGGGAGGATAAAATTGTTCAGCTTGTAACGCACGTGCTGAATATTTTCAACCAATCGTACGCGGTGAATCTATCTTCCACGCTTAAACCGATCCTCGAGTCCCAGTAACGTTATTAAAATTCAATTTCCCTGAAAAAACCCTCTTGTCCAATTGCTAAATTAATTAGAAAATCATTTTCGATTCCACTTATTATGTTGCGAGAAATACTGCCTCAGCTTCAGGAGTCGAACCTGGACATTCTCCACTTTCTGGATGGGGACGGCTTTACCTACTATTCGGCCACCGAGGCTTCGACGGCATTTTTCGCAACAATCGGCGTTAATCAATTTTCTGTTTGGAAAATAGGGAATGTCCAGGTTCGACTCCTGGCGGTATATCTTTACATAACAAGTAGAATCGAATATTACTGGGATTCAAGGATCGGTTTTAAGTGTAGAAAATAGATTCACCGTTTATAATTGGCTGAAAATATTCGGTACGTGCGTTACAAACTGAACAATTTTATCCTCCCGCAAATAATATTAATATTGACAATATTAATATTCTAACGGCAGTATATCATCCGTGTTCCTAAAGGTCCGTTAAATATAAATGAGAAGTTCACTCACAGTAGAAAAAAACAGTCTGGTATTTTTTAATAATTATACAAAGTGTCTGTAAGGAGATTTCTCTAATTTAAATAATGGGTATCCTTACACTTTGAGCCGAAGGAGTCCGGGGTAAACGTTAACGAGAGTCATTGTGGCGTAACCCAACGCTGTGAAACTTTAATTTCTTCCTTCTTATGAAACGCAGAATGAAAGTAGAATAGAACAACTCGCGAGACCTCGATGTTTTCTACAAAACATCTAAATTGCGATGTACGATGTTACGATAAAATAAATCGTCCTTCTTTACATTGAGAACGATATCAACGATTGATAATTCTTTTGTAATTTATTATCTAATCATTATTTTTCTTCTCCCGAGCGATTGATATTCAACCAAGCAAAACGCACGCGATCTCTAATCTCTGACGTCCGCAGCGAAAACGTTCTCACGAGGACGAGGAGTTTGAGGCTCAGTCGTCCGAACGGTATGTCGTGCACGGTAGGGAGGAGTCGCCCGTGTCGTTCAATCGTCGAGCGCAGCGCCCGAGAGTATCCAAGCGAGAACTCGAGTCCTCCGACCTCTCCGACGGGAGCGATCGCGACGTGAACCGGAAGCGCGTTTCCCGAGGTTATTTCAATTACATTTACCTAAGACATCGGAGAATCGCGCGACTTCGATCTCTTCGATTTCCATGTCCTCGCGTTCGACACACGCTGTTCGAGAATTAGATTCACTGTGTGTATGTGTGTGTTTCCCTAACTCTTAATCTGTAATCTTAACTACCCGATTCCCAACGACATTTGGCGCAACGTTGTAACGGCTTTCAGCTTTGCGGAAATAGGCTGAGAAGGAAAAAATTTGATCGCTAATAATTTAATATACAATGTTAAGAAAATTATTCTTCCCGGGGCATCTCTCAAGGTGGCTGTGGCGGTGTCTCAATGGCCTCGATCTAATCTATTTTCTTTTTTTCACCGGAACGAACGTCACGCGTTTTTAAAATCTAGAAACACTTTTTAGCGAATGCACCGTCTCGTCGGGAACCCAGGCGAAGAGAGGCGCGCGGAAGATCGAGGGACAGGTCTTCGTCGCGAGCCCGTAGCACGCAACAAGCGCGGCAGCATCCGATCGAGGAAGTGGAAAACGACAGGCACCGGTGCGACGAGAATCTCGGGCTGACGGAACACGACGCGGAACATCAGGAGCCGAGCGAGGACATCGAAGGAGATCACCAGCCGAACGGTAGCAACAGCGACAACAATTTGGAGAACTCGTGATGCTAATCACCCTTTTGTTTCTATTTGGCGTGTGATATGGTCTTCTATCGCTTCTTTAGTGGCTCTATATAGCGACATATCTATTGTTTTCTATCTCTTTATGCTTGACAAAGCAAATTGTTCAGCGTTTTGATCATGTAAAGGCAACTTTGCGAGTAAATATCTGTGTTTTCATACAGTCGTTTATTATTAATCACTTTCGCTCCCACCGAATTGTTTTTTACGCCAGGTTCTTCGGTCAGTTTTAAGATTTTAAGGTAATTGATCCGTGACCATATTTTCAGGAAGGTTAATACAATATTGAAAAGCTCGGCAAATTTGTGATGTGTGCTGTAATGTTTATAAATACAACTTATACAGCTTTGACACTATAGTTCTGCTAATCCAGAACACGTTGTCTTATATCATCGAATAGGTATATCAGAATGTTGGTAAACAACTTATATTATTATTACCGACGAATGTAAAATTTAGTCAGAGATAATAGGAAAAACGAGTTCAACAAGGCGAATCGCTAACGAGTCGCAAACAGAGTAATTTTCACGAATAAATACGATTTCTTCCCTCACGGCGATCTTTCGCATTATGTTCAACTGGAACATTACAAAATAACGCTTCGTGACAAAATATAATTTTGTAAGAAAATTATCTCACCGATAGTTTCTACTAATTATCAAATAAAGAGTAAAGTGTCCGATAAAAACATTTTAAAGAGGATGAAGGTCCTTAGATAATCGATCTTTTGAGTGCGGAGTACTTCGGAGCTAAACGATCGTTGAGGACGGACTTACTCCGGGCCGTTGTCAAGGCAATCAATGGAAGAAATGATTTCTTGAAAAATCGTGGAAACAGTGGACCGAGACAGGTGTCATCTTATTTATCAACGTTAGTAAACAACGTAAGAAATAACGAATGTAACGTGATTGTACCGTTGCCCATGCGATCATCGGCTCATATAAATTAACTCCTCATTAACTATTGCGAATTTATTGCAAAATCGACTCTTCCGTCGAATTTCTTTTGTTCTACCTGCACACCACGGAGAAAGATTTCAGACACCTTGTGTATACCGTATACGCTCCTCGTGGCTAAAACAAAAATTCAACACGATCGGTCGAAGAACTGGAGACGTAAAGACGAAAAGAACGTCGGCGCTTGTCTGTTACTCGTGTCGAGGATACATATTGCAAATCCCCCGATCCACCCCCGGTGAACTCACGGTCGTAATATTCCATGGCAGGTTACGACGTGAGCGCGCGCATTCCCGCGCCTTTTGTGACGATTCACTGCCTAAGAAGGGATCGGTATCGGTACGATTTATGATGCTCGCCGGCGAAGCGTGGAAATGACTATCCTCGTGTATTCTCAAGCGAGGCTCGTTTGTGATCGCGGCGGCGGCTCCACGCCGTATCGCCGGTCGCGGCGGGATAGGCGTTTTCTCGTGAATGGGAGCCGATAAATGTATTTTCAGGCGGCGGGAAATACTCGAACAAAGTGCGGAAAGCTTCTCGCCGGGGGAGACGGGGATGCTATCGCTGCGTGCGAGGCATCGCTTTTTACGGGATCTCCCTCGCCGCGAAATCTCGGCGCGGCGCATTTTTCAACGTGACTAAAGCTTTCCGATGTTTATCGGTTTAGCCAATGGCGTTTTATCCTCGCTACCGAACTTTTCCGCGATCAGCTCTCCTAGCACTTTGTTCCCTCTTCCCTCCCCTTCCGCCCGCCTCTCGTTCGCCTCCTCGTGGACGGAACGGATCTCCTCTCGAGTTACCCCCCGGAAAAGCTTCATTTCGCCGGCGTGTTTTGCGAGTTCTTCGACGGACACAGAGATACAGGGAAACAAATTATCCTTCGTCTGCTTTCGTCTCGTTGCGCGAAAACAACAGGCGCGAAAGCAACAATGCGCGCGCTTATATTATAATCGTGCATGTAACTTCAGAAAAAAAATTCCAGTTTCACGACGCGGATCGCGTGCAACTGCGTTCGATGCAGATACAGCCAGCTAATGTGAAATATTTATATGGAAAAACGCCGATTCAATCCTCGACGGGAAATACGGATCAGTTCGCCAAGTGCGCGTATTACCGAACGTTTCAAAAGTAAGCCTCTCCCCCTCTTTTTCTCTTTTTCTCTCTTTACTTTCGAACGAGCACTTGTATTTGCACATCGTCCGTTTCATCCGTTTTTATTGGCTTCTACCGTACGAATATCCGTCTCGAACAGGAAAGGATTCTGATCTTCGTAAACGTTGAGCACTGTTTTACGTCCATCTCGCTTGTCAAATATGTCCCATCAAATTACGCTTCGCGCTTACAAACGTGCACACTTCCGTTATTCGCTTGAGCGGCAATTAAAACTTTAATACGCGGCGCAGGATATTAATAACGGTATAATACACATGGAATTGCGATATGAAGAAAACGCGAACGAACGCCGACATTGCGTTGCGTAAATGTTATCGTGCCTGGCGACATTGAGGAATCGTACCAAATTTTCACGGGAGATTGAAAAAAACACTCGATCCCGCGAATCAGAGAATTGCTCTCACGGAGTTCGATGAGCTTTCGAAATCTGTAGCGCTCGCGAATCGATGAGCGAACTTGCGCATCGTCACGAATTATTTGTTATTTATAGAAACGAAACACGCACGCTGCCTTTTCCTCACGAAATGTAAATTTGTTTCCAATCGGTACATAGCAATCGTAATTAATTAACGATCAAAGAATTCTCATTGGTCGAGGAAGAAATATATATATATATATATATATATATATATATATATATATATTCTTAATAAGACAAATATTTAAATTTTTGAGAACGTGCCGTTTTCAGTAGTTTTCAAATAAAACATTACCGATTGCGTCTGCATTGTCCGATTGCAGCGCTAAATCGAGATTGCAAAAAGAATCTCGTCAGTTTCACGGGGAGTTTCGACATGCGAGATTTTTCCAAGACTCACCAGGCGCACGTGTTCTTGATATCCTGAAGCCGTCGGGAAGCTAATGCTGACACGTGGTCACGATGACAGCGAAGGTGTCCTCGACATCCTCAAAGCTGGACAGGTGCATTAGGTAGAACCGTCTCCCTCTCTCTAGTTGTTCCCGTTGATCATCGTCACGAGGACATGACAGAAGGCACCCGTTGCGATCGCGCAGGGTGCCGTGGGATCGCGAGAAGCACGTGGCGAAGCCACGACGCGCACTGACTGCTCCGAACGGGACAGCTGACGAAGGGTGGAAACGCAGCACTTTCCGCCCTCCGCTGTCAACCCCCACCAGTTTGCGCCCCCCTTTCTCTCTGTCTTCTTGACTCATCTCTCGATCATTATATTTCGCAGGATTCACCGATATCCCGCCGTATCTAACGCCGGCGAATCCGCCTGTAATTTCGCTTACTATTACGATTATCGAGGAAATGCGAGCCCTCGTGCAGACGCGCGAACACTGATCCAACGTTCGAACGATGGACGTGACGATCGATCGTTCCGACGTTCGCCAAATTTTTCACGGATTTTTCGAATTTTCTCGCAGTGAGTCCTCGAACTTTTATGGGTGCTTTCATCGCGATGTCGATGACTGCGAAATGCACATTCATATACATATATATAGAAATATTAATTTTCCTAGAATAAAATATCAATGATATATTCGAATTTGTGCTTATAATGTATCCGAGACGAAATTTTAGTCCCCCTTTAAGTCTAATTTAGTTCTGCACTAAGTCTTCAAAGGTCTTGTATTGTTGCTCTTTCTTTGCTATTAATGGGGAAGTTATTACCCAAGAAGTCTTCCCCATTTGAAGACTTAACGTGGAACTAACATTTAGACTCTGGAGATTTTCCATCCTCATTTGTAGTATTAAAGAATCTATTGTGCTTTGATACTACAAAAAAGGAACGTATTTCCATTTCCTCCTCTTGAAGACAGAATTTAAAATTTCGACCGGGGTATCTTGCTCGTTTCTGATTCTTCGTCAATTGCAAACGCAATAATAAACGATTAAATTGCGGTCCACTATTAATCTCTCGGACCATTTCCTTCTGTTTTGAAAATGCACCGGCCCGGCGGAAGTGCTGAGTGACATGCGATCCTTAATGCGTTCTTAGCAAAGGATTCTCCAGCAAGCAATCGATCAATCGGGAGCGCCTGTCCGCATTTCAACCGGTCAAGCGCGGTATAATGACAGAACTCGCGGCAGAACGTCGCTTCGTCGCGATACCGAATGTCGCTCCCGTTTCCCAAGGATGCATACCCGCAGGTTCCCCTCGGATCCTCCAGAGGAAAAAATTCATCCGACGAATGGGGTTCTCGAAAGATACACGACGCATTCGCAACTGCCGTTGCGACGAAATTCGTCGGTGTAACATACGAATCGTCCTCGAGATTATTAACAACGTTGTGATTCACGCACACAGTTTCACCGAAGTCCTTTTCGAACCGAGCGCGATCCAAATCCGAGCGCGTGCTCGTACGAAATGGAACGCTTAAGAATTTCGGACGTCCGCATAATAGTTTCGCTTTGGCACGGAATACACAGCGCGATGGTCCGCAAGAACAACGCACGGGGAAGGATTATCTAAGATTAATGGCCTTTTTCCCAAGAAAGACAGGATAAATCCCCCCCCCCCCCCACTCGGGGGGGGGTNGAGTACGCGAGCGAAATAAATCCGCATCCGAAAGTAAACTACGTCGCCTGGTTGTCGGAAACGGGCCGGACGCCCGTTGTCCGCCGGAAATATCGCGACGACGTTTCTCACTGTCGGTCGGGTTGACGCGTATCAATGGTCAAAATTACCCGCGGATACGTTCGCCCCAGTCGCCATAAGTTTCCCAGCAACGCGATCCAGCTGCGCGTACGGAATCGCGTCGCGGTACCGCGCATTCTTTTACCGTCTTGCACGAAAGTCGATCCTGCGAAAGAATGCGATTGTTGAAACCTGATTAATGCCCCGCTTGACTTACAAGCACGTGATCATTAAGAACTAATAACAGCACACATGTACATATGGGTGTGGAGAAAAGAATGGAAATAAAAAATGCAATTATATTACAAGTCTACTGTGATCGTATGAAATTACGCGTGTTTAATTTTATACGTGAAGCCGTACGGAGAGAAAAAGCCAGAACGGCAAATTGTTTGCAGCGACAGCGAAAGAAATTCGTTCGGATGGCAGAAAGATTCGTTGAGAGAAAGATTAGTTGCTATTTTCTGGATATATAAATAACATGAAATAATTTGCTTACGCGAACTACATTTCATTGCAGTCGCAAGGTCTAAGCTTTCGCTATATCAGCAAAATGATTTTTCCGTGTAACAAATTCTTCTCGCTGTTCCAATAAAACCTGTTTCCTCCGCTTAAACATGTTATGAGTTTAATTTTATCATTCAAAGTTGTAAACAGTTTATTAGTAGATCAGAGTTGGAGAGACGGTTTGGTATTATTGAAAATAGCGTAGCGATTGCCGTGACTCATGACGGGTGATTCGTTATCGACGTTTTCGCTCTTTCGTCATTTTCCGGCGCGATGAAGACCGGATTTAGCGGCGCGGACGACACGGAATTTCGCAACGGAATAATCACGACGGGGGTAACGAGGCGGGGGCTATTTTATACCGGGATTTCAGAGGAAACGCGTGCCATTCGTTCTCACGGGATGACCATATGCCGGGGCCGCTTGTGCTAAGGCCGCGCACGTCCCTCCTGAGGGATCAGAATTTCCAGAACGGGATGTTCCTGCGTAGAGGTATCTCATAGGTGTACATATTACATACATATATTTCTGTCGCTTCGTATCCCGCACAATTCCTGGCGACAGATGAAGAAGATTTCTTGGGAATATTGTACATAAATATTAAATACATGTCATTCGGCGAAAAATGATCTACGATGTGTGTCTCGCGAAATTATACGCGATAACACTGTTATATTACGTAACGTTGTTCCCCCGAGCGTGTCGGACATTTCCTCACACGTAGTTATCTGCATTTCTGACCCGCAACAGTGATATTGCAAATATTTGAAATTGAAAGTTTCAAGTCCGATGGTAGGCGGTGTCGCATTAGCAATAGACAACGCTAAAAGTTATCGTCGATATTGTTTTCGTTAGCGATGATTACGAGGTATCTGGCGGCCTTGATCGGCAATGACAGCAGATTCTATAGCGGCAAATTTTCGATGCGGGAGACCGTATCGGACGTGATATAATTGCGTGTCAATCTTTCGTGAGCGAGAGCCCTCCAGATAAACGGATTTCTCCATTGCAAAGCGACGTGTCATGCGTGTGTGTGTGCGCGCGCGCGCGTTAATAATCCAATTCATCGTATCGCGAATTCGGATTTCGTACGATTATGCGCGCGTCCTCCGCTGTGACTCAATAAAAGGAAACGAAGAAAAGCGTTTGATATTCTCCCTATCTTTCTTATAGGTAAATAATCTTCATACAGGCAAATAATTAGCAAATATTTACATACAAATATAAATTAGCAAATATTTACACGTAAACATAAATTAGCAAGTATTTATATACGACCATAACACGCAATAATGGCGCTGCAGTAATTGCACTGTTTATATAATGTTAAACTGTTAAATAATACAAACAGTCTGGGAAAAAAATCCGCAAGGAGGAAAAGTTTAGTATCAATTCAAGACTCGTATTCTCACATACAAGTAAAAATATACAAATCTTATATAAATACAAAATTCGCTTATATGAAAAAATTCTATATTCTATAATTCCACTAAAAATATCATTTCCTGTTATTCAGGAATAATTTTCATGAACTGAGGGGGAGGGGGGGATACATGGAAAGAGCGATATTTTCAAACTAAAAATCACAATCTTGAGATATTGTTCCACTTATCCAATATTTTTCCTCTCAATTCAGGAAATTTCTTCAATAACAAGAATACGATATTTTTAATAGAACTAAACATGTAGATATAAACATAGAGAATAGAAAAATCGATACATATCATTTGAACTCTATGTGGAGTTGCGCTTAGAATCGGATGATTAAAAATACATATTTTCACGCGTCATTGTATCCGCAACGAATATGTCGTGGGAACACTTTTAATCGCAGAGAGATAATTCGTTTCCGGATCATATAAATCTTTCCCGCTTCTTGTTGAACTTTGTTTCTCCTTTCATTCTTATACGCTCGTGAGACATTATTTTTCACTGATGGCTGTTGTCTAATAGCTATCCTTCGTGTAGCTATCGTTTCTGCAATTCGCTATTACGCAACCTGTCATTTCCACGCGAATTACGCGGACGATAATTGAGAAGTGACGCTCGTACAAAAATATTACATGCGTCTACAAAAATATCGCAGCTACGCGCTAATTTGCTTGTGTAATGACAAAGTATTTTCTTCAAGGCTCTTGAGACGTAACACATCAAGAAACGGGGTTTCGCGGACGGCTTTTAAACGCGCGGTTTGCCTTGGAAAACTCGATTCAGTTATCCCCAAACGACAGTTTGCAACATTCGCGCGATCAGACGGTGAGTTCCCCGGTTTCGTTGAGTTTGTCCGAGGTCGCGAACAAAGGCAGAGGGAAAATAATAAATTAAGAAGATCGGGAAGATAGGAGGATATTCGGGACAATGGCGCGCTTTCGTCATCGAGAATGTCTCCGATCCGCCGACGGAGCTCGCAATTTCCGGCACCTCCGAGCAGGATTACACAGCCCCAACGTGTGTCTCGCCCTTCCGATGCGAAATTCATCCCGTCTCGCCGAATGCACGGGGCGTCCCGCGATCTCGATTTTAAACGACGGACAACACTCCGATTAGGAATGCTCTCTCCTCGGCCCAGACGTTGAGATCATTTCGAATTTCTCGACGAACGGGAAAATTCGAGCACGGCTCTTATGTGAAGTTTCGACTCGTTTGTTCCGACATTCGCCGCGAACCGGAGAGATCTCATTGGACTTCGCGCGGAACGTTTCGCGCGTATCAACGCCATCGATATTTCGGGAAATCGGGAGAACTGCGGACATCAGATCGCGTCGGCCGGCCACTCGACGAGATACCTCTGTTCCCTTTTGTGTGGATCTGCGCGTGAGAAACGAGAGATAGGCGATACCATACATACGGGCTTGGAAAAGCGTGCTAAACTTTCCGCGCGAAGGCGGCGAAGTATCGCGCTCCGGAACTTGGGGATATCTCGCTCTGCCCACCGTCGCACCTCGGACAACAATACCAATCTCGACGAGCGGTATGATAATGCGGCTTGGGACTGGGAGAAACGAGCGCGACAATACGAGAAATGGCGCCTTTGGTTCCCGTTATATCGGCTACGGCAGTCCTCCTGGGTCGGTTATATTTTGTATTTAATAGTGGATAACGATGTTTTATAACTTTACAAGAGCGCTCTGAACTTCACACGTCGCACGATGGAATATTTACATCAAAAAGTTGAGCGAAGTTGTTTCCGTCATTTTTCGATTTAAAACGTGCTGCTATATTATGTATCTGCAGGTCGTATTTTGAGACGCACTTAAACTTTTTAATGGAATACAGGTTAGGAGGTGAAGAAAAGTTACTCATTTTATATTCACTCGATTGGAATAATTTCAATGCTACGCTAGCCACCTCAGCGCTTTTGCCTGCTTTTTGTAATCTTCTGAGACATCTGTTTCACCCATATTTTTTGTAAATAATATTAATATTAACAAAAATAAATTTATTTTTCCGTTAGTAAGCAGAGAATTTGAAGTTTCAAGTTACAAGTAAATAAAAATAAAACTAAATTTCAATCGACACGCACACTCAAAACACGTCTATTTCCGTCATTATCAATGATGCAACCAGAGCGGGTTTATACTTGTCAAAGTCATTGTAATAGCCGAGTGAAATGATGTCATAAAAAATATATTTTGTAATAGAATTTTAGATCAATGGTTCCTTAACATAATGCGATCGATAGAGCCGTATTATAAAGCCGGTCCCCGGAAGTCAATGAAATGTAAAAAATTAAGGTGCGTCTAATAATACTCATTATAAAAGGGTTTCATATAATTTTTTTATGAAGTAAAATTAAAAATACGTAAAAATATTTTAATAATCGAAATAGTACGATATATAATTATAACACATAATTATTATTGTGTTGTTACACGTATATTGAAATTTTATGGTTACGCATCCTGCATATCTGTAGTAATCGTTAACTGTTATCAGAAGCATAAAGAGAGCACGTGTAACGTAAACGTATTAAGATGTCAAGTAAGCGATTAGAACTCATGCTGCTTTTAAGACTTTTAAAACTTTTTCAAAAGAAATTCGCATTTCAAAAAGCGTCGAGACCTAAAGTGTATATATCATTAGACAACATTCAAATTTCAATTAAGCTAACTGCCTTCTGTTATAGTGACAAAGGAAGAAAGGAATTGTTCTGCATCTGTTTACCTGTCTTACATCTACATTCTACATTTATTTACCTGTCTTGGATAATAGTTTGTATACAGCAAAAATGACTTCGAGCAAATCGATCAGCTTTTCAGATCGAATATTCTACTTTCGTATATATCAAACATATTTAACGAGTTTTCTTTATATTCGCACAGTGCATCCATCAGCGTGCAAGCTGCCGTAATAATTTGAAGAACAACGTGAATATAACTTTATAACACAATCACAGCCATCAGGAAATAACGCTGCGAAGCAAATTAAAAAAACAAATCAGTCGCACCACAGACTGGCTGTTTATTTATTTCACGATAAAATGCACGATTCTTTCAAATTTTCGTTGATACCGCCGGACGTTTAAAGTAGCGATTAGAACGTAACGCACGTCTCGCCGGCGATTCCGCTCGCGTGCGTCACGCGTTTGCCCACGTAATCCACCTTCAATCCCGAGCGATCTACTCGTGGATTTTTAATCCTTCGTCCTCCAGAGCAGAGATCTCCGTGCTGTCGTTTCCTATCCGTACCTAATCTTCGCGAGTCATCCATTTCTTACTTTCTCCGTTATACCGTCGGGGCTCTCAGTCGAGCGGCCTCGTGTTGTTTTGCGTCGCCGCTAATTACTTTTCCCATTTCCCTTAGTCGTCTCTCGTAGTCCTACGAGCTGCAAAAATCAAGTCACATCGAGGAAGAAAACAAGTTAATTATCGTAGAGCGGAGTAGCTTCGGGTAGGAAGGGCATGCGCGGCAAGTTTTTTTTGAAGCAACCAAAAATATCAAGGAGTGAGCGAGTCGAATATTCTTGACATCGCAGAATAGATTAAAATGTCATTCTGCGCAGTCATATATGCTGACATCACGAGCATGCCGACACGGCACGTACAAAGGCAATCTTCTTACAGATTCCATTCAAGGCGAAGGATACTGTCGGAAAATCGCTATGTAAGCATTCGCGATAATAGCGATAATCGTAATTCAGTTCTGATATATTTCTAAAGTAAAGAAAAATTCTTGAGCTCATAAATATTAGTAAGAAACGGGTTATTGCGTTCCTTCCGACTTTGAGACTCGTCAAGTCGAGTTTTCGCACACTGAAGTGAATCGAATTGAAGAGATAAATTTCTTCAAATTCGATGAATTTTTCGACGATCGATTTTACGAAATTACTCTTTTCGTTGTATATTATACGTTTTATTTGTTTTTTTATTGCTTCAGCTGTGAGAAGTCGCTACGAATTCGGATAAAATACGAACCTTATTACACTAATTTTATTTAGCGAGTGCGCGCTCTCCGCTTGTTTCTGCACCGCGGATCCAACAGGCTGCGAAAATCCGGAAACGAGATGGAATTAATTGCGATTAAATGCATCCTACTTTTTTCCCTCGCTCGTCGTACGCGAACATCATCATGCACAATGTGCTATTAAACGGACATGCATACTCATGTAGGTTTTTTGTGAGACAATCCCGCAAGGAGATTGCACATTACTCTCTATTCCATTCCTTTTTCTTCCCTTTTTTTTTTTCTTTGCTATAAATATCTCGCCTCGCGTGTGAAATTTCTCCAGGGGAAAGTTTTCGTCGCGCTTCCGGCGGCGGGCCGCAAAAAGAAATTGTCCTTGTGAGTTGCTGAGCAGAAAGTTTCTAAAGTAACTGAAAATGTTAACGTGTCTCGTGATGCCGCTCACGATTTATTCTGATGAATTCCTGATTATTCAGCGGTTAATTATGTAAATTTCATTATTCACTTCTTCCTCTTCTGCCATTGTTGTTAAATTTTTGCCGAGACACTCTGACGATGTCAAACATACCAACGCTTGTTTTATCGCGTTCTTTATCTCTTTTCGTTCTGATCGTCAATGTTGCACACATTGCACACACACAATAGAAAAAGAAATTTCCACGATTGAATCGATCGCTCCTCGTAGACTCAACTTATTTTTCCCCCTTTTCACACCAAAGGCGCTCGAAAGCGCTCGATTTTTCTTTACTCGCGCATGCCATGGTGCATAAAATTTTCCATCGGATCTGCAACGTTCGATCTCACGTACATCTTTTTTACGTAACACGCCGTTCGCTAAAATCGGCGGTTACATTCGCGAGAATTTCGAGAGTCACGCTTATTCGTTAGTTTTGCACTCGGAATATTTCAGTGAGTTAAGGTTGTGTTTATTCAGCGATAGCGTCTAGTCATCGTGAGTAATGGAAGAGTGCAAGCAGAAATTATATTTCTAATATCGATGATGATGCGAGACTTTATTTTCCACGAGTTTTATTTTCAAGTCATCGATAAAATAATCTTTCGCAATTCTCAACCAGCAAAATACGCCGATAAAGCAAGCCACGCGATCAACATATTTCTTCATGAAGACGCGATAAGTAAAATCACTTAGGGGTCATAATAGTTCACAAATATTTTATGTAATTTATAATGCGAAGCCTCTTAAAAAGGTAACACATCGAAACAACTCACAGGCTCGATATAATATTGCGGACGTTTCTTGCCGCGTTATCTTCGCGATAATTCATGGAATTATTCTTAATTATCGTCATATACGTTAATCTCGGAAGTTTATAAAAGCCTATCGAGCGTATCAGCCTCGGGTATATTGAAGCGAGCAGCCGACGAGTGAGGAATATACGTGCAACGAGAAAATTAACATACAAGTGTTATCATCCGTTAAATAAACACGTACGTAACCATCCAAGATTTCGATTCGGGAGCGAGAGTTGGAAAGATTTTACAAAGAATCGTCACGATTACACGATAGGGATTAACATTTGGGAAAAAGGGTTGCCATTTAACGACTCCCGTTGTGCTTTCGTTTCGACGAATTCCGCCGGTTTCTTGTGCCGAAGGGACGAGGAAATGGTGTCTAGGACGCGTTCTTATATTTTCCGTCGGATGTTTCGCCGAATTTACGCCTCACGAACGTGTCCCTGAAAGCCGCGCAAGCGAGAGAGAGAGACGTTCCGCGAGAACGGAAAGCGGCACGAGAGCAAGTTAGACGCGGAAATTCGCCGCTACGAAGGGCACTTGAAGGCGGCAGCATCAGCGTTATTCAAAAATCACCCTCCGCCTTCTATACGCTATCGTTGTTCGCCGCTTTTGACCGTTACGTGCGCTTGTGCATTCGCTTTCCGGGGCTCGAAACATAACCGATGCATGTGACGTCAGCTTCCTTGTCCGCAAGAATTTGCGATTCAAGTCCGCATCGTTGCAAAACTACACAAAGTGTAAAACAGCTAGTTGAATATACATTAAGTGAGAGAACCGGCATTAAGATGCCACATTATGAATTCATGGTCGTGGTGTCTGCGATAGGATTAGCATTCGGTCTACTCGGTTGGTTTTTTGCATGTCTTGAATTACGATTGATCGATAAATTTTGCCCGATAAATGTCATGAATATATTTCGAGAAGAATGTCGATGTCGTTGTTCACTTACTCGATAATGAGTCAATATGCTTTCAAAGCACGGCGTAAAACATATTTACATATTCATCCATACAATCTAAGCAAATTTTATGAAATTCTTCACGTATCCGACGTGTCTATTTCGGGTTTGTCACCAGTGTACTGTTTAATCAATTACCCGGGGAAAAAAAAGATCATGCGTGAAATTGGCCCACATATGAATAAATAAATATAAATCATATATTTCCACAGCGAAAAAACACTGTTGTTTGCAAATTATACGCAAATACAATCGAAATAAATGGCTACTTGTACTTTCGACAGCACACGATATCGACATTTAATTAAATGATATAACATCATTTCTTATCATTTAGACATGATTATATAAGCAACCACATATATAGGCAAAACATACGTGATTCATGCATAATTTTAGACGATGACATATAATCGTACATAATCACTATCCCCGGGTATCACCGATTGAAAAACATCTAAAATACAACAGTTTATCTACGTCAGTCCTCCTCGGCATATATTACAACAACAAAAGAAAACACGTACGCGCGGTAATTATTTAACATGTTGATTTCGCTTGCAACGCGTTATATAACAATCGCATTGCGAAAAAAAAAATATATATATATATACCAGGTGTATGCATAAGTTTTTTTCCGGTTTAACTAAGAGATGGTGCCAGCGAAAAGTACGCAGCGTATTAATTTGACACATACGTCATTTTGTTCGTCTGACATTTAAAACTACAAACACACACAAGTTGAGTCCGCCAAAAACTAGCGTCTTTGTTTTATCGTTCAGTGATCATGTCGAGTTTTGTGCCTGAAAAAGAACATTTGCGGCACGCATTGCTTTTCTTATTTAATCAAAAGAAAAAGGCTGTTGAAAGTCATCGTTTGCTGGTAGAAACATATGGTGAACACGCTCCATCGATTAGAACATGTGAGACATGGTTTCGACAATTTAAAAATGGTGATTTCAATGTGAAAGACAGTGAGCGCTCTGGTAGACCACAAAAATGCGAAGACGAGCAATTGCAGGAGTTATTGGATGATGACCCAACTCAAACTCAACGGCAATTAGCAGAAGCATTACATGTATCACAAGAAACAATCAGCAGACGTTTACGAGCAATGGGAAAGATCAATAAACTCGGTAAATGGGTCCCACACAATTTGAATGAACGTCAAATGGAAAATCGCAAAGTCACTTGTGAAATGCTGCTTCAACGCCACGAAAGGAAATCATTTTTGTATCGAATTGTGACGGGTGACGAAAAATGGATTTATTTTGAAAACCCGAAGCGGAAAAAATCGTGGCTTTCACCTGGCGAAGCCGGTCCATCAACACCAAGGCCAAATCGCTTCGGCAAGAAGACCATGCTCTGTGTCTGGTGGGACCAGAGCGGTATTGTGTATTATGAACTCTTGAAGCCCGGCGAAACCGTTAATACACAACGCTATCGCCAACAAATGATTAATTTAAACCACGCATTAATCGAAAGACGACCGGAATGGGCCAGAAGACATGGCAAAGTGATTTTGTTACACGACAATGCGCCGTCTCACACAGCAAAACCAGTGAAAGACACCTTGAAATCGCTTGGATGGGACATCCTTCCGCACCCGCCGTACTCCCCAGACCTGGCGCCATCTGACTATCACCTCTTCGCATCAATGGGGCACGCGCTCGCAGAGCAGCACTTCAGCAATTTCGAGGAAGTTGGAAAATGGCTCGACGAATGGTTTGCCGCAAAAGACAAGCAGTTTTTCTGGCATGGTATTCATAAATTACCTGAAAGATGGGCGAAATGTGTAGAAGCCGATGACCAATATTTTGAATTAAAAAAAAATTAATTTCCCTTGAAAATTACGTGTTTTTTTTTACCAAAAAAACGGAAAAAACTTATGCATACACCTGGTATATATATATATATATATATATAAGATGTAGATACAACTGGTGAGTTGTATTTCGTATGTTTCCGTCGCACAGAGAGTGACACGCTGCACATTAATAGGAGCGGATCGCAAAGCCAACCGAGGTAACGAGTTTGCTAATCTTCCGGTAAAGGGATGTCTCCAACGAGCGTCCCTCGTATTATCCCGTTGAGCCTGTTTAAGTTTGCACGCCGGCGAAAGGAGATGACCGCCTCGAGATCGGATGAAGTCAATTACTTGATGAAACTTGTAAGCACCGTCCTTGGCTCGCAATGTTCTCTTTTCAAGTCGTTGAACGTCTTTAACGCTCGGAGAAGAGACATGCCATCTCTTGAGGTGCCGTCTGATCATGCCGGCACAATCGTACAGCCAGAAACGACATCTTTTTTCCGTAATTTGTTACGAAAATTCCGTTATCGTTGACGTATCGTTGCGCAATTACTGTGTTGCGAAATTTTTGCCAGCGCAAACATTTATTACGCATACGGTGAAAGTTACATAATAAAGGAAGCGAACAATTCCGGACGCAAAGATACTTGCGAAGCGGCTTTCGACGGCATTTGCATGTTTCAATTGTCGCCGCTTTGGCTGCATGCCGATAATCTAAAAATCGATCCAAGAGAGAATATAAATTAGGTTCTCGGAATATACAAGCTTGATCGAAAGAAGCCGATGAGAGATACCGGCAAGTAATCACGAGATTGAAAATTACTATTAGACTTAAAAGATCAACGAATCGAATCGTTTCGGTTATAGATTTCGACTCTCTTCGGTACAGTAAAAAATTTTGTGTCAAAACCGGCCCACTTTTGCTGTACTTTAACGTGGAGAATATGTGAAAAGTACATAAATATGTGTTCAAAAATACGTAAATATAATGTCGAAGTATGCTGACAAAGTAAATGTATTAATTTAATCATTATATTTGTGTACTTTTTAACACATTCCCCAAAGTAACATAACATTTTAGAGGGGCCGTTTTTAACATAAAATTTTTACCGTAAGTAATTAAGCCCGACTAAAAATGAATTATTATAATAAACCAGTCAGTTTGTTCTACTGAACTTTGATTCAACGATTTTTAAATCTAATAATATTTCCAGTCTCGCAAATATTTACTACTACCGCTGGTTCTTACTAGCCTTTTCCAACCAAGGAAAATTTATACAATTTACGTTTGTACAATATTTTATATAACATAAATATTGGTAATGAATATTGGAACAGAACCGTTATCCAAGACTTTATTACCTAATTATATGTTTTCTAAATATCGTTCTCAAAGACTTTATTGCCTAATTATACATTTGCAAAATATCGCTTTAATTATTATTTCATTGCTTCACTACTAATTTTGTTTAAAAAATAATATATTAAACGCATCTGCTCATGTACACGTCTTATCTTTCAGTTATCGCCACTTAAGTTATCGCAAAACAAATAGCTGGCAAACGGCGCCAGTAGAAAGAAGAAAATACGTGAGAAGTTGCGTTAATAAAACCGGTTTGGTCACTACAGTGCGGTGAAAAAGAGTCTTCGTAGAGATAGAGAGAGTGCAGAGTCAGTTGGCGTCGTATCAACGGAGGAGTACGAATCCGGTCCTTGAATCATTCGATTTATTCTTGCATTGTCATGAATCGTTGGATAGGTAAAGTGGCTGTCGTGACCGGTGCCAGTTCTGGGATCGGTGAGGCTATCGCTACGACTCTCGTCGAGCATGGTCTCAAAGTCGTCGGTTTGGCGAGACGAATTGATAAGTTGCGAGAGATCGCCGAACGACTGGCGACCGCTAAAGGTTCCTTCCATCCGATCCAGTGCGATGTCGTGAAGGAGGAAGAAATCCTTAAAGCCTTTGAGTATGCCAATAGTCTCGGCGGCGTTGATATTCTCATCAACAACGCGGCAGTCATTTATCCGGAGACCATCATAGGTAATTATGTAGGAGAATATAAAAATATGTAGTCGATGTGACAATTCTGGAAGGACGATATTAGATATTATATAGGGCGAGGAATAAGTACGGATAAAATCTCGGAAAATATGGGCTTTATAGAAAAGTGTTTCGCATAAAAGTTGTAGGGTTTTTAAAAAGATCTATTTACTAATCTTATCAGTTTGACTTTGGATGGTGTCGCCAAAGTCAGGACAAGATCAAGTGGAATTTTTTAAACGTGACTCCCTACTTTTTATTACATATTTTTATAGCTCTTGTTTTCAGAACACTCTAGCTTCTTTTGCTTAAGAATTTCCCGAGATATTTTGAAATTTGTCATGATACATTTTGCTTTCCTTCATGCATTCATCTTTAATCATAAACATACGTATATCGTTAATATTAATGTTCTCATATCACAACGATATACCGTCGGCAGACTGGCAGCCGTTAATATTAAACTATTGAAACTATTAAATTTTTTCTCTCCAACACCAAGATGGCACCACCGAGAAATACCACTCGATTCTGGACATAAACGTGGCAGCCGTTGCGATTTGCACGCGAGAAGCCACGAAATCGATGAGAGAACGTAACGTCGAGGGACACATTATCAATATAAACAGGTAAACAGTATTGTCTAATTATATGTAATATTAATTATGAAATATGTCTTATGAGTCGTGTGAAGTTTTAAATATATACAATGTTCCATGACGTTTAATATGTTGTATAACTTGATAACAAATATATCCCAAGCTCTGTAGAAATTTTCCAATAAAACTTCCCATTTTTGCGAAGCTGCTGTATTTGCCGACGTTGTTCTAGCGTTATATTCTTTCGTTTGCTCATCACAGCTGTTACAACACTGTCATAACACGTCTCTCTACCTACTCTACATTACTCGGTAGATACTGACAAGTATTGTTTACATTGTAAAAATTTTGACCTATGTGTATTACCACAGTGTACGTAAGTACGTGTCCGCAGAAAATATGACACTTCAGTGTCATAAACAAACACAAGAAACTTCTTAGTTATTGTAAATCGATAAACACTATAATCTCATAATATATGCTATGCTAAACTTGCAAAAGACGTAATGGACTTTTGTCTAACTATTTCATGTATAAGTACACAACGAATAAAACTTAATTTTCCTAACTGTACGTAAGTATATGTCCGCCACTATATGACGTTTTAAATGTATAAGAGTTTGAAATTTTTACGGGCATTGTATCGCCGCTCGTTATAACCGTAGTATACGCTTTTACCTCCCAATTCACGTCCGTTTTATTGAAACAAACATTGTTATTACCGAAGTTTCATTTTGGCATACCACACTGAACTTCATTCTACGCCATCTACGTTCTCGCGTAAAATCGTCGAAACGTAATCCACCTACGTTATTTCCGGGCTTTTTATTATTTGCAGCACCGCCGGGCACAACGCCAGCATTGCGAAAGCTCCATTAAGCCTTTATCACACGAGCAAGTATGCGATAACCGGAATGACGGAGGTGATTAGGAACGAACTTACCGCAGTGAAAGCGCCGATTAAAGTGACAGTGAGTTATCGTTCTTTATTTTCATATGTTTCCTTTTTTTCTTGTTTCGGTGCGACGGGCATCACCATTAGAACATAATAAAATCGTTATCGTAATCTAAGATTTGCGATTAAAAAGTCCCGAGGCTTATCGGAGAAAAAATAACATTCTGGCCGTCGTATATCGCGTCGCCTCATATTACGCGTCATTATTTCTTTTAGAGCTTATCGCCCGGCTTGGTGAAGACGGATCTGCCTGCGAATTTAGCACCATTGGATACAATTTTCAAAATAGCCCCGCATTTGCTATCTCAGGACATTGCCGACGCGGTCGTGTACCTCCTTGGTACACCGCCGCATGTCCAGGTATTTACTTTAATGTGTTAATGAGATCGATACGTACGCGGAAAGAACAATTCCGTTAAGTGTAATTGAATTTCCCGTTGCCCGGGGATTAGACGAAAACTCGGTTGTAGGAACGGAAATATGTAAGATTCATGTTGGAGATTTCTGCTCAGTCAATTGTTCCCAGTTGTCTCAGTCGAATTTTAATACAGTTGAACTGTTCGAAATGTTTTCAGTCGCGGTAACAGAAGTATCATTTCTTGCCACCGAGTTTTCTGATCCCTAAACTTCGGTTGCAGCAACCGAGCTTCTTTTTCCATGTAGCAATTGAAATATTAACGTCTTGCAAAGTTGACACAATCGTCTTAGGCTTTTTTTTCTATTTTGTTTTCTATTCCCATCCAGAAATGTCGTTCGAGTTAGTTTGTATCTTTCCGCGAATTAACGATTACTTGAAGGTAAGAAAGATACAATTGTCGTATTATTTCCAGGTCACAGAGTTGTCTATTATCGGTAGTGCTCTCGAGGAAGATTAGTAACTATCTAACGTTTCGATATGATTTTGTTCAATAGCAGATATAAGATATCATAGCATACAAATGATCTTATAGTTATTATAAATATTATAAAATGTTTACTGCTGCTAATGTGTAAAAATAATCTGTCTTAGAATAATAACACTTTATTATTAATTTCATCTTGCATATATTGTTACGAATTTTATTTTACCACTCTCTATATCTTTAAATGCCAAGGCTCTTTAGCACGTTATTCCTTTCAACTGATTTAATTAAAGCAACTCACAATCATTCTTCGATGTATCGAAATCTTGGTTAAAATAAGACATAGATAAGTAGTTACACGCAGATATGAATGTTGAGCTGATAAAATGTTAAAAATATCCTAATAATAAGATATTATGTACTATTAATAAAATATTAAAATTAAAAATAACCTTCGACGATAATATTTTACGACTTATTATAAAGGAATTTCTTATGAAAATAAAATTTTGTTCTTGAATAAAATTCGCTGTTATATTGCCAAGCAAATATTTGCAGCGGATAAGAAAACATAAACACTTTATTTAATTTGTAGGTACTTTAAAATGCTGCTTCTAGATTATTCTAAAAATGTTAGACTTTTAAGAATATATCCACCACTCTTAATATCGTCTTTCAAAAATCATTCTTAGGAAATAAACAATCGATGCGAACCGTCGTGCGCATTTGTGTCAACCTATATTAATTTAACTAATTTGATACATTATCTATTCTCACGATATGATATNATATCATTTAGAACCAAAATAGCAAAAGACCTGAACGAACAGTTCGTTGAGATTTGTTGATGCTCATGCAGTGTGAAACGTATTAATAGCGCAGCGCTAATTTTACTCGACTTATTTTTAGATCGCATGATTCACTGATGCTAATAACTATTATATCGATGCACATATATCTAGACAAAGCATTCTAAGGTAAGATCCAAATAGCAGTAAAGTGAATATTACTGCACTTCAGATAGTTCTGCCGCGACTTTTTCAGATATATTCATCTACGTGTGAATCAAATGATGACAAATCGAGCCAACTGACCTAAGATATCACAACTTTTCTCTCGTTAAAATTGATGATATTCCACTGTGCGTCATCATAAAATGGAATCATAATCAAATTTCAAATTGAGATCAATGCATTACTTTGGAATCGCGTTGGACTACAGCGTGATTTAAGTGATATTATCGAGACATATTTTTATTTTGTGAGGACATAAAACTTTTTGCATTAAACGAAATTAAAGTTGCCGTATACAATAAAACAGTTATGATATATGAATATGTCATTATGAAAGTGACCGAGAAACTTTAATTGCTATATTGTTATTAGACATCTTAAAGTTTACATCATATCGACGTATGTAATGCATTATAAATCCAAGTGTGTTATTTTTAGACGCATAAACGTCTCAAAATGATACATTTGACTGAAGCTATTTTCACATGTTTTTTGCCGATTTAGCTTGCGCCATTTAAACTGTTTAATCGTGTTAAATTGACGTTAAATTTGGACGTATCAAGACAACACGTCCAATCGTATTAAATGACATGATTTCAAACAACAAGACGTGTGTAAGGAATATGTAAAAAGAGCTTCAGCTAAAAATGTGCTAAAGGTATGCTTGTGTATTCAAGCTGTTATCAAATATCATGCAAACAAACGCGTAGATAGCAACAAAATAATACTTGTAACATAATGTAGAGTTCTTCTGTATTTTTCAAGATAACAAGTGAATAATGATTCGGTAAATTTGAAACATTCTGTATTTACGCAAATACTCGATGTGACTTTTAATATGACTGGTATATTGCGTGTATACTTTGTATGTAAGATGTACACAAAATACCAAACTGATATCGCATAAAGTCCGTCAGTGACTCTCATACAAATATTTAATTGATAGATTTTTTCTAGATTTCATGTAAAAGTTTAAATCAATTCAGCATAAAAAGATTATCTATTAGGTGTACAAATTAATTCTCGGCCTTTTTAAATGAAAATTAACGTTTATTTATACAAACTCAGAATATACTTTAATCAGCAAAGTAATTTCCAGCAGCATCTACACAGCATCTACAAGCATCTACACAGCATCTACATTTTTGCCATTTTTCGAGTAGGTGACGGATCGATAAAAAGACGCCGGTTTAGAGTCGGTAATGCATCTTTCAACTTCTTCGAACGTTTTAAAGTGGGAATCTGTTAAATAATGTTGAAAGGATCGAAACAAGTGAAAATCTGACGGAGCTAGATCTGGTGAATACACCGCATGTGGCAAAATTTCCCAGCCCAACGAATCAAGCGTGTTCTTAGTTTCGCCGTGTGGTCTCGCGTATCGTGCGGTAGAATTACCGGCCTATATTGTAAACATAAATGTGTATTTTCACATGCGTAAACGTCTTAAATTAACATATTTGACTCCAGCTATTACACCTTTTATGCCGATTTAGCTTACATCACTTAAAATGTTTAATCGTTTTAAATTAACACGTTAAATTACAATGTGTTAACACGTCCAATCGTGTTAAATGACGTGATTTAAAACGACAAAACACGTGTAAGAAATGTACAAAAAAGAGCTCTAGCTAAATGATTTATATAGTAGATGCGTTCTACTTAACGCTTGCAATGGCCGCCAGCATCATTCTATCCTTGTTTCTTTTGGATATTAAACAAAGACAGAACGTTGCTCGCAATCGCGGAATCTGCTTAAGTGTAAACCCGTTACTCGTAAAAGTCACTTTTTACGCGTGTCAGAAAACATACCACGTTACCTCAATACCTTACAAATCATTTTCTCTGCCTCGGATGTGTTGTTTTGACTGAAATGAGAAATGTAATGCATAATGTAAATAATGCCTAATGTGTTGCTTTTCAGGCGTCAACATGTTTACTCAAGGTTGCTCACGGTGAATTATTTGAAATTACGTCAGCTATATGTTCCGATTTTATGGTTTATTGTGTTAGTACATACTATACAGCTCTTAAGTTAGCGACAAAAATTTTCCGCTTAAATAAGTGTCACAACTGATTTAATATTACGGCCGAGAATTAATTTGTACGTCTAATAATTGAAAAAACTTGATTTGAAAACAGGCTCTAATTTCAGTCACATTGATAATATTAAAATTTTATGAATTTTTGCCAACTAAATATTCGATTGTTGTAACCAAATAATTTAGTTCCGTTAATATTAAATATATATGCACACACGCACACATATATATATATTTTTTTGGTTGGTATAAATTATTTGGCTGCAATAATCAAATATTTGGTCAGCAAACATTCATCAAATTTTAATATTTATTACTAAGCTCTTTCTTTAGTGCATTTACTCTCAATTAATTAATATAATCCACTATGTTACATATCGGAAAATGAAATCTCATAAATCTCATGAATCTCATAAATATTAAAAGCAATTTAACTCGACTCATAAACCATTAAATGCATGTGCTTTCATCATTTTATATGACCTTCATTTTACACTCTTGTTCTCATGAATTTATCGAATCTAAAATTAACAGTAACTACTTTGCATGATAATATACGTAAAAAGGATCTTGTTTAATCCCAAATTCGGTATAACTAAAGCACTGGCGTACGTTTTGTAAATAATATCTCACTAAATAACAACTAGGCAATAATTGGAAGCAATAGAACTATGACTTGTTAAAACTAGTTATCAAAATTATCGTGCCAATAATCGAAGATGATGTAATTACCACTCATCATGGTTTCTACAGAAGCAGTAATTGACGGACGCCAACGGGGGAATACGAGGATTGAGTGAGGGAAGGGTGAACTATAACTGCACAGTCTAGACTGCGGTATCAGCAGTAGTGCATCAGATCTCCAGCAGAATGGAACGTTGGGCAGGAAAAGTCGCATTGGTTACCGGGGCCAGCGCTGGAATCGGCGCGCAGATCACAAAAATGCTCGCGCAAAACGGCATGAAAGTGATCGCTGCCGCGAGGCGTCTGGAAAAATTGGAGGAATTGGCGGCGTATATCAAACGTGAATACAAGGTCGAGATATACCCGATAACGTGTGACGTTCGCAAGGAAGAAGACATTCTCAAAGTATTCAAATGGGCGAACGATAAACTGGGCGGTGTCGATGTACTTGTTAACAATGCAGGTGTGCTATGGAACGAGACGATCATAGGTAAGGCTTGAATTTATCGATTCCCCTCGATTGCTCGAAATTCGCCAGATCACAAGAGAATTCGTGAGATATGTATAAAAAGCAGAGCTGGGAGAATTACTTCTTGACAGGTACTCGTTAACATTACTCGCTATTTCAAAGAAGAAACTTATCGTTATATTATTCATTTTGAAAGGTAACTCCGTTATCGTTATTCAAAAAATTATAATTCACTGCAATTTCCATTACTTCTTTCGCCGTATTCTTTTACGAAGTAACAATCGTTTCCGTGACTTAAAAAAATATGATCACTACAGTGTTGTTAACGAAAAAAAAAAAAAAAATTAACGACGTTGCCAAGCCGTTATTTTTACGGAAATTTAATACCGGTAAATTAGTGATTATTTATTTATCTTGAATAGTAAAAGTACTGCTGTCAGTAATTTGCAATGACTCGATTATAAAGCTCGCAGTGACCATAAATGTTTCAATGCAACCATTATATATACAGTAAGTATATACAGTAAATATATTGTGAACTCTTTCGCGATGTTCTATTTATTTATCGAATATTATATATGTATTCCAAGAGTAATATCTGCATTTTTTTGCAAAAGTGACTTGAAACTTTTGATAGCGAGAAAAATAAACATAAACTGTGTTTTTTAAAGTAACTTTAGCGTTTGCTCTAAAATTCATTATAATCTGTTATTAAAAATCCAAAAATAAATCAATGATTCGCCAATAAACGTCATATTAATTTCCATTGCGTATGATTGTTTTTGTATTATTTTAACATCTCCCAGCATTTTGCTACTACAGTGTGTTTTGAAAGATATAAGAATGCATCATAAGTATAATAAGTATAATCCTTTAAGATATCGCCAAAGTATATTGGCAACGGAAGTTCCTATTCGATTATTGAGACAAAGAAACGTTAGCCGCGGCAAAATAAAATATAAATGACGGTCATAGGATCGAAATCACTAAGGAACACATTATGAGATGAGAAGATGCAAAAAATAAAGTAGCAGTCTTTTTATTATTTAAAGAAAATGATTTATCATTGGTTTATTTTATCTCCTTTGTATCAACATAATTTTATTGCAGACAATATTTTGCAATTACATCAATTAATTCCTGTGATTTAATCAATGATTAAGCACTAGCCGAATAATTATTGAAATACCGCCAGTATTTAATCATTGCAAATTTCATAGTGATTCTCAATATTAAATTTCTGTAAGGATAGTGAGAAGATAATTTATAACAGTAACGGCGTTACGCATCACTTTCCAACCGTGCTAAAGAGTACCGAAGGAATTAAGAAAAATGAGTATCGAGTTCAAGTAGATTCGAGCATGCGCATATATATTTACATTTTTCACCGTTATTTGTTGAAAGATGGATCAACAGAGCACTACCGCGCGATCATGGAGGTGAATGTGATCGGGACGGCGATTTGTTCGCGGGAGTTGACACGTTCCATCAAAAAGCGTGAAGCGTGTGGACATATTATTAATATTAATAGGTACGTATTAAATGATAGAATAATAGAAATATGTTGGAGTTGGCTTGTTTGAAGTCAACTCGTTAAAAAATGTTGACGTCGCTTGTTATGCAACACGCGTAATTGCACAATATTGAAACAATTGACCATCGTTCTATTATTAAACTAATCTTCTTACGTCATGAGCGGTGCAATGTGTGCAGGAAGCGCTGTACAGTTGCAAGATTACACTTTAAATATTGACTCGACTGCTTGCAATATAAAATATAACCAACCTACTTAGACTCGCGATAACCTTTCATATAGAATTTATTATGCAAAGCAAATATTGAATCGTTAACATTCCCACTTATAATTGATCACTGGAAAATACTGTCGTTGAAATAAGAATAAAAACTAGAAAACTCGCTTTAGGATATCATGTTTGTAGCTACTTGCTATTTGAAATTGAAGAAAATTTGTGTGTCACAAATTCAAACAGAGAAAACATTAAATTACGAACGAATAGGGGAAATATTAAAATTGAAAAAAAAAAAACTTAAAACTTATTACTTACATTTTTGAAAAAATTAATGGAATATTTTTACATAAAAACAAAATTAACTAAATACATATATAAAAAGAAAATCTATTATACACTTTTATATAAAAATACAATTTAATATTTCTTTTTTGTATGATAATTTTGAAAACACTTGCCTTTACGTAAAGGAATTTTGCGATAGTTGCATACGTAAATAAATTTGTTTGATTTTCAGCTTAAACTAATTTATTTTAGCTTAAAACTAATTTCAAGTCTGTTAAAATTCATTTCGAATAATTCAAACCTAAGATATATAAAAAGACGTAATATTACGGTAGTGGCAACCAGTTGTAAAGTTTGAAAATCAGTTACAGTTTATGAAAAAACGTACTACTACATCAGCGATTGCGAATTTGTTTATAATATAGAGACTTGGATTATATCGGCAATTAAATGTAATTATTATAGATTTGATCGCGAATCCGACGCATACGTTTTTTCACGATCAAAGACAGAGAATTATGATAAAGTAATTAATCTCTCAGATTTATGTTACCTCATAGATACACGCATGACAGGCTTATATTTAAAAATCGATAATTGTCCCCGAATTTATTTACAGCATTGCTGGTCATTACGCGGAAAGCCTCAATCTGCCGCTCAGTGTGTACTGCGCCAGTAAATATGGTATCACCGGCATGACTCATAATCTACGCAATGAAATATCAAACGCAAAGCTCAACATAAGAGTCACGGTATGTAAAGCGTTATGTATACTAAATTTTCTTTCAAACTTTCAACCAATCGGTATCAATCGGTATCAATGCGTCGAAAAAAAGTGCAAGTTCAAGTAGCGAGTTAGTCGAAAGCTCGGTTTTTGAATAAAATTTAAATTTACTACGAGCCTTATCTATGACTTATCTATAGAGCCTCCGTCGACTTTTTGACAACGTACATGTGTTTTTGCCGCAGAAAGCGACCGGTTTGCCATCAAAGAAAACGGAAAATCACACCGAACGTTTGGTTTGATTGGTCCGATTGATTTTTCTCTTGATTAATTATATAAATAGGTTCTCTCGATTAATCATGGATAAATATAAATAATTCTCTTGATTAAACTTGCCGTAGTGTCATTATTTTCCGCTTCGGTAGTGTAACTGATAATATCAAATTAAGATACCAATATAGCAATAAAGGCTTTGCGATAAGAATGGTGCAGCAATAAAATGGTATGATTTATCAAGACGATTAAATGAGAGATGAAAGTTTCGATTAATTGAACAGAGCATCAGTCCTGGCGCAGTGGATACTTATATGTTATCGTGCATCGAATTTCCGGAAGACGTAACAAAGCGAGACGACGTAGGTATGCTGAAGGACCAAGATATCGCAGACGCAGTGCTTTATGTGCTGGGTGCGCCGCCCCACGTAGTAGTACGTATATTTAAAAATAATTATATTATTTCCCTCATATTTTTTCACGAAACTCACATTTAATCACTTTTTCCCGGACGTTCGAGAATACACGTGTATACATGCGCGCACATATGTTGTATTGTCGAAGATGACGCGATTCGTAAACGCGAATGTTGAAAACATTTTACTTCAAGCTTTAAGTGAACATGTTTTTTTCCTCAAAATCTCTTTCGCGCATTGAATATGTTAATATTCCTGTTTCCTCAATGCAGTTGTACATCAAATCACGACGTTGCACGCGCGAATTTATATTTGAATAATATTTTTTCATTATACATCAAGGTGAATTAATCATTTTCCAATATACCAATATAAATTGATAAAAAAGAATCGACTGCAATGAGGGGTCAGAAGCCAAAAAGTACGAATTTTCTTTTAATCGCTGTTTTAAGATAGAAAAGTGACAAGTGCTATCGGTTTAAATTAAAAATCGTTTTGCACAGAGCCCATCTAAAATTCGCAATCCTTCTGTTTCAGATAAGCGAACTAATAATAACCCCTCACGGCTTGACAATGGGTTCTGCTTTGAAGAAACAACAAAATTAATATGTCCGCAACGGGAGAACGAAGAAAATTATTTAAAAACATTTTAAGTTCCAAGTATTTTTGTTGTTGTTACTTTTGAAATATAGTACGACGCTTTTGTTGTTTACTTTTGAAATGAGCACGACGCTTTGCTATACAAAAGAAATGCCTAGTTATTCATTTCCTGATAAATTCTAAAGATATAAATGATGCTTGCAACTAAAAATTTAAGGTAAGACCTAAAAAACATATTTTTAGGTCTTACCGGTATTTATTGTGTAAATTAAGACGATAGTGTCTTAAATAACGGAATATGTTTCATTTCCTTATCAAACAACGTGGAGAATATCGACGTGTCTTTGTGATATCTATATATCATTCCTATATAATTCCTATTATATTTGTAATTGACCTACACGCTATAGTATTATGCGTAGCGATTTTAATTGCGCGGGTTAATGGCTTTTTTACTGCACATACGCATACTTTTATTACATTATGGGGAGATTTTCATCTAGAGGTCTAAAAACACGGTGATTTTCTTGATTTTTTTTTTCATAGAAGTAAATGAACAACTTGAGTTTTTTGACAGTTATTTATCAACTCTTAAAGTGTAGAAAAATATTTTTTTTGGTGCATAAAGGTGTCATGGGAAGTGTTAATACGTCGTCGAACGTCACGTTGAAAAAAAAGGTACCCAAACGGTCTCCATCGCACAGCACGTTTATGTCATGTGAAATGAAAAAAACCCAAAAATTTTATAAATTACATGATATTTATTGGAGCTTGATGCAATAATATCAATAAAAAGTCGAAAATTACAAAAATGGCGGACATGTGAATTTCTAATACCGTTTTTTTCACATTTTTCGCTCTTTAAAGTGCTCTGAAAATAAAAAAAAAGACGACAAATATCATCCGAATTTATATTTAGGATCCAATAAATTTTATCTACTTTAAAATAAAAAAAAATCTAAGTCGATCCATCGAGTAGTTCTTGAGATATCGTGGAGACCAGTTTGAAAAACATGATTTTTCAGAAAACGCGTTTTAATGTGGTAGTACTCATACTTGACGCCATGCAATTCGTTCCTTTCTTATGCGATAACTTTTTTATGCAATCGTTATCGGCCAAACCGCTTTGGGAACATATTCTACACATCATAAGCTATCGAAAAAAAAAAAAATATTAAAAAAAAAACGATTTTTTGGTCGAGTTTCATGAGAACCTCCCCTTATGTTGGAAAATAAAAATAATTGTTGACCTAAGTTAATTATCAATCGCGATTAATCATTCCTATATTACTGAGTCCCATCCAAATTTTATACTCAAACGAGCGATCAGCATCAGTAATATGACGCAGACATCAATCTGGATTAACGAGATCACGAATAACAAATACGAAAACATTGAGTTAATGTAATGATGATTCCCGACGACGTTCCGTGAAAGTTTATTTAGATCGTACCTTATGAGATACGAGCAGGTTAAGTAAATTGTAATTTTTAATCACACTTACGCTTGCACTTGCGTGTGTAGTGGACGGAGATTAGAAACCTTTCCTACAAATGGAGAAGGGCCCCATTTTACAGGGCCTCAAAATCGAATTATAGTCTTAAGCGTAGTCTACCATGAGAATTTCAGACATAAGACTTAAGAAAATGACCAATCACTGTCGAATTATAGAAGAAAAATTAATTGTGATTGATCAATTTCTTAAATCTTACGCCTTAAATTCTCATTGCAGACTCCGCTTTACTGTAGCCGCGTCCCGAAATTTACTGTCACTATTAAAAATCTATGGTTTATGTTACGTATATTACAGATTTTCAATACTGGCAATGAATATCGGTACGCAACCTGTATTACGAGGTGCATATTTCACAATATTTCACAATAAAAACCTTGCGACCAAACTAACCGATTGTGATTCCCCTGCTGTCCTTACCGGTAGAACCTAATCAGTCTGCGATTAATCGTTAAGCAAAAAAATTCGCATTGTTCATCAGAGTGAGCGTCGGAATTAACACGCATATCACGAGAACGCTGCTCGCAAAAAACGTGACATGAAAATAATCTTTGTCACGAGGTGAATATAAAAACTGATGATAAATAGCAGGAAATATCGAATGCAAGGTCAAAACGAAAATATATCGATACAATGCGGTGTTCAAGGAAGAGAATATTCTTGGAATATTCATATAAGCAAATGCAAAACGGATTGACGTTATTGTGCCTGAGCCAATAGTAAGTCTAGTCATTCTCTAATCCTGAAACGCACATGGGTTTCTTAAATTTATGTAAAATTTCGATTGTTCTTTACATGAAAAGGATGAAGAAAATGAAAGAATTGGAGTCCGAGATAATGTATAAAAAATATTTAAGGCGCCTTAAATTATTATTATAGAATGTCTTATTATCATAGGATATTATTATTGTCTATTATTATTATAGAATATTAAAGGTGATTAACTTGAGTGACTAGTCGGACATAATACAGCACATTTTCAAGTTTCTTGTGGGTTCATGCTGAAACCCATGCTGTGTGTTTGGTAAATTTAAATTTGCTGTATAATAAAAAAAAGTTTGGGCTTTTCGGCATCATAAATTTGATACTTTGACGGAAATAATAATAATAATAATAAATACTGAATATATAGTAAGTATTAAATAAAATAAATATTACTTATATAAAAGCATTACTAAATACATATTAATAAATAATGACCCGGGAAAAAACTTCTCGTGTATAATTATACACAGAATATTTATATAAAAAGATATATAAGTATGATATGTATTCCACTTTAAAACGAACACAGATCTAACGAAAAATGCAAAGTTGTCTTCCGATCGTACAAAAAAACTTCACACGAAGAGGAAGAGTTAAAAACAACAGAAATAAAATTCTACATATTTGCACGTGTATGTAATTTTGTACAAAGTTATATAATAACAGTGTAATCTACGGAAAACACGAAGAAGAATAAGAGTTTGCACTTTCGCAGTTACATCAACGTGAAGATATACGAGTGCCTTTCCCAAAGTGCTACCAGGGAATAGCAAGAAATTATAATCGACTAAACCACCTCCGAACCTTGCCACCTTCTGTGCAAATTAAACGGCGATGGCGCTTAAGTAATCGAGTATTTTTATTTCTCTGTAGATTTACGCAGAGTACAATGCTAATCATACACGACGTGTCTTTTGTAATATATTAATATATCTCTCGTTACGTTTACATTTCATTACATCACATCGAACGGACATGGTGCTGGAGTTGCCGGTTATGTACACACCCTTGTATTAAATTGTGCTGGAAAATCAAACTGAGAATTTATACAGTCATTGATCCGTGTGTGCGCGCGCGCGCATGTGTGTGTGGTATACATTTATAGAAACGATTAGCGTTAATCGACGGCATGAACGCCTCGTCCGCCGAGAAGATTGAATGATCGAGATTTATTTAACGAGTCTCACGAATATAATATACGAACGTACCGGGTCGAAGTGATGGTAGACTTAAAGGGGGGGNGGGGGGGAGTTCTCATCGTGTGTACTTATAGCTTAAGAATTAACAGTATTGGTCGAGTATTGTTTGCCTGAAGATTCCCTTTTTCGGGTCGTTTGGTTAATTGCTTACTTGTACCAACGTGTGTTTCGTATCAAGCGTAATAACGTGCACGCGGCTAATAAAAATCTCTGCGCCGCTTTACTCCTCCTACTCTTCTCCGTCTCTTTATTTTCCTCTTCCTCTCCCCCTCCCTCTCTCTCTCTCTCTCTGTTCTTTCTTTCTTTCCTATTTTTAGGTTCTATATCATGGTCTCGCATTATGAGCGTATCGTATATAAGGAAAGGCCAGTGTTAATTTGAAGAGAGCTCTAGACGATAAAAATGACCGAGCCACGTGAATAAATGCGTGTGACCGTTAGCACGTAGGTTTGATCTCGGCCTTTCGAGAACTTATTAGGGTTCGAAATTGGAGAAGGAGGGCATCTTCGTATTTATATAGCGTTTCATCATCGCCGAGAGCAATAACGCGCATCGGACGTCGGACCAGAACCGTCTTTATTCACGTGGCTGATCCCGAATATTCTCTTAATACGATCGTGGCTTCAATGTATTTTTAATTCTATCACGCGTTTTGGCCCCTCGTCCGCTGCAGGAAGAAAAATTTCACGATACATGACGCCGGGCGCGCAGCCAGCGATAAATAACTAACTCTTGAATTCGACAAAAGAGCTAAGCCAGCGACGTCCTGTCATCCCGTCGTCGGTAAAAAAACGCGTTTTCGCGTCTCTTTCTCAATATCTTCCCTCAACCGAAAACTAAACGAACGTAACGTATACACGTATGTTAATGCTGATAACGGATTAAAGAATGTTTTACATTTGACATAAAACTGGCGTGTTTCGTTAGCGTTTCAGAGACAAAGTATAAAACGAGCTTGAATTCGAGCGTAGCAGCTAGTTTTGGAGTTGCCCGAGTTGTAATTCGGACGTTCTATACGCTATACATATAAAATTTTGATTTGTCAATTAGTCAGGCCACGCTACCTACGGTCGGTGCTAATGAAACGACGATAGAAGAAGCGGATAAGTGATCGATTTACGCTAATTTGGGCTAATTATTCTCGAAAGAACCCTCGCTTACTCAACACACCAACGCGAATTCATTGCGATTCGAATGAGGGGAATCAAATCAATACAGGACGGATATGTTCAACCTCGAAACTAGAGAGATTACCCTATACATTTCTCTATATCGATATATGTGTATATATATATATATATATATATATATATATATATATATANAAATCCGCTAATCCTGTGTTCTAGTTTACGCAATATTTATATAGCAACCTTCCTTCCACATAGAGCCTTACCTCGAGTTATTGCCACGTGCGCAAAATCGGAATTGATCTCACCCACGGATGATATACTTTCATTAGACTTTTTTTTTTATCATCGACACCGCAAATAACTTAATGACAAAACGAACGAGGGAGAAAGTAATTTATGTCCCTTTAGTTTCACAATGGAAATCATACGTAAATCTTTCCCGGAGAGAAATTTAAGCCGCTGCTTCTTCTCGTGACTTCTACTGTACATAGCAGCGTATATACTAATTGTAAAAAAACATATGCGCCGTTACAAACTGTCGAAATGAGAAATTCGTGGTAACAGCGGCAATAAGAGGTAAAAAAAGAGGCGGGACGCTACAGAAATCGAAATTGTCGACGAAGGGCTCCGATTCCCTTGTACACGTAATGGCGTAACCGGATGATACGACATCTCGGTAAGATCGGCGAGCGTCGATCGTCGCGCCTGAGAATTTACGCGCGTCACGACGCGAGTTCGTCCACGGATATGTTCAATTACAAGCTAGATCACGAAGGCGCGCGTCGATACCCTACGGCCGCAATATTACGAAAAATCCAACAAAATAGTGTTCTCCTTCACCTCACTTCTTCCTTTTCTTCTCTCTTCTTCCCTGATTCTTGTTTTTCTCCCCCTGTCTCTTCCTATCGATATACATATACACACATATATATATATATATATATATATATATATGTGTATATAAATATATGTACATATACACGGAATACAGCGTACGTCGATTAAACACCAGCTGTACCTTATTAATTTTTACATTACATACACACACATTAAAGCTGCACCAGTATGTACGTATATACGGATATACATCTATATACGACGGTATATACAAGGACGCTTGGCTCCTAGTGAATTTTGTTTTTTGTTCTTTTTTTCACGCGACTAATTAACAAACAGGTGAACGAGAGAAAGCTCCAGGCTCTTCGAGAAGCCCGTCGCAGACAGCCGACTCGGAACGAAAACCGCGTCGGAAACATCAGACCACAACCGTTGGCGCAAACTTTCTTTCGTTTACGCGGTAAAAATGTGGGAGAAACATTTAATTAAGAACGCAATTAACTTGTGCAATGTTTCTCTGTTTTCCTTCACTTGTGCGACGCCAATCGGCAAATATGCGGCGAGGAAGAGCGAGAAATTTTGAAGATCTTTCTATCCGAGTACGAGTCGACGATTATTGTCGATAATTTCCGGCTCATTTCGAAAAATAGTTTTTCCTTCCATAAAAAGACTTATTCGTTACAAATCGCGCGTAATATTATCCTTCGTGTTGAAAGTTTGGTGTTTGTATCACTGTTTTCCTTCTCAATCGTACGGATTTTGAGGTGAAGAAACTTTGTCGTTTAGTTACAGTCGCTGGAGATATGCTACGGTTCGGTGGTTGAAATTTTGCTCTTCGCGCTCGAAATACGACTAGATTATTTTACTCGGTATAAACGAGCTAAGATCGGCAGACCTCAAGCAACGGATCGTGTAACGTCGGCTGACGTTAGAAGAAACTAAATACGGCTTGAAATGATCTTCCGACGTGGGAACGTTCCGGTAATATTAACAAGTCTCTTCATTTCATCACTCGGCCGAGTTTGCTTGTGCTCCGAGGACGCTTCTAATCTTTCTTCTTACAAAATGTGCGTCTTCCGCAGGATACTCGTGATTTTAGGCTACTTTTACACCGATGATTCACACGCTATTTCTATGTCGAATTTTTGATCGCGTGATATATCAACTGAGAATGAGATTTGCCCGGTCTTGACATCACTTTATTCCATCAGGAGTGATTTAAAAAGATTTTCCGATTTATGCTTGAAGGACAAGAGATATCTCACTTATGGAAAGATTGGTAAAAGCGAATCTTAAGAAGCCTATTGAAATCAATAAATGTCCGATCATTCCTGAATCGAAATTTTGGTTCTACATTGATCCTGTAAATATTGCCAAACTTGAAGGACTAATGGAGAATCTTAAAGTATTAATATTATATTGAGAGACTTCCTCCCCCCTCCCCGTTGTTTTTCGATGCTAATGCAAATTGTTACTTGTCTCCGTTTAGTTGAGACCTGAAAAAGGATTTATCTAAGGAAAAAAAAGATTTGTTTGATAATTATTTAACATTTTATCATTTCAATAGTCCGTATTGTATCTTCATATTGAGGTTCATATACAGGGTGTCCCACAGTAACCATCAGAACGAATCGAGAAATTCTTGATGCCAACTAAAGCTGCTTTTTATTTATCAAAATTCCGTTCAAACGATACTTTTCAAATAAAAGCTGATTAAGTTCTAAATCTATCGGTATTTTCAATAGAAGTTATTCGTATAAATAATTCGTATAAATAATTCATACAAATGATATTCCATCGGCTTGTTTCAAGGCTATAAATATTTCTTTAATGTTAAGGCAACACTTTGATACAGCAGTAAAAAATTATTAGTGTTGCTTAAACATATATTATTACTTATTTTATTTTTAATAAAATTTGTTTGATAGAAAAAATTTCTTACTGATGCTACTGAAAGAACGACGTTTCATTCTGGTCAAAAATATTGTATCGCTTATGAAAGTAGGGAAATTATTGTTTTAATGTACAAAATCTTAATTAATATGAACAGATTATGGGCTAAATAATAAATATTATATATTTTTAACAATTTGTATAATTGTAATAACTATAACATTCTGGAAGAAAAAACGAAGAACTTAATAATTGTCACACGTTTTCCATATTTTCTGATTGATGCAATACTTACGACCAATACTTTATGCAATATCCAACTTTAGGCTCAGAACTTCAAGTAGCTCTCACTTAGAAGCTACCATTCAAGCGGAATTTCAGCAAACGAAAAGCTGCTTTATTTAATTTTAGCTCCCGAGTTTTAGCGTCTTTCGTGAATTTATTTCCGACGTTTCAGTTCACTTCTTCAAAATGAGGGACTCTCAGAAAACTTACGTTTCTAACGAAATTTAGACAGATTTAGGCGAAAGCCTAAAATATCAGAAAAGATGCTTCGTACCAAGAATCTCGATGTATTCCTCACGCGGTTATTCTGGGACGCCCTGTATACGAGACTTATCCAATAATTCGTTTATCTAATAGTCTTCCTCTACATTGATACTTTAATGGTTCATGCAGAATCAAAGTTTCGGCTTGGATCACGACATGTCGGCGATAATCTTCTCGGGAAACGCTGCGGTAATTGAAAAAGAAGAACGAATGATCTTACGAAACACGCGTGAGCCGTAAAAAAGAAGAAAGAGACAATCCGCCAAGATCAAAGTGTCTACGAAATATTCCACAGGAGTAGCGGGACAAAGTGTATACGACTCAGGCCCCTTTGAGATGAGGGGTATCAATCTAAATAAACTATTTCCTCGACATACTGAATCGTCGTTTCCGCTCGTCTAATATGTACGACATACATACATACGTCTATTTGTACTACCGAATGACGCTCGGTTCTCATTCGTAAGCGTAATGAAGTCCGTAAACCTGACCGCGATGCGATCACGAGCTGCCCCGTAGCCTAAAATTACAGAGACTCTTGAAAAACACAATCGCCCGCTGTATCTTTCATTCCTCGGCCGGCGCTCCTCCGCCGTCTTCGCGGCTACCGCTGCCTTTTTGCTCTTGCTCCTTTTGTGCTTTGGCTTCCGCATCTGCGGACAAAAGCGTCTTCACGTGACGACTCGTCGATTTCGTTAAAGGGGAGCATTTCGTTGACGCGTGGTTGCATGCACAGGTAGGCACGCAAACAGGATCCTCCTATCCTTCGGTCACTTTTCCCTCGGGATGGAAATGTATTCGGAAATCGGAAAATTTATACTTTTCACTGATTCACGCTAGAGAAAACCAACCTCCGGAGGAGGGTAAACGGTTGAACTTCGGTTTTAAATTACCAAGAAGAATTACTAAGTTGATCATAATTAAATTAATGAGTGGCTCGGAGCAAGTTTTACTGGAACACGCGTTATGATTTTAAGGGAAGGAATCTCAATTGTATTACCTAACAGCTACACATTCTGTAATTTAGACATTTATATTTATACATTTATATTTATTTCTGACATCTCGACTAGAAATAAAAGTGACCTAATCTGAGTGATAATTTAGTCGGCAACAGTTCGGTACACTACCCGGTAATTTTGGAAAACTTGTTAAAATGGTCCCCTCTAACGTGAACTCGTGAAAAGTATAAAAGTTTTTCGCAACTTTTTAGAGAATCGATTAACGCGCTAAGAGTTAATTATTAATTGGGGGTTTAAGGATTTAATTAATAATTGAGACACGGGATCGGTTTGACATGGAAGGGATGCTCCCCGCGTACGTTTAAATGTCTGAGAAATCCGTCGGTGCGTTCGATAACACTGTTATTATCCTCCCATATAAATCGATTCGCACCAACAACCTGCGCTCGGCTCTTATAAGCCTTTGTATATTTTTCATTCGATCTCCAGAGCTTAATACTATTCTATTTGGAGAGTACAAATTTTAATTTGAAAATATTTCACTTTTCACTTTCCCATCGGAGGGGGAAAGAGGAGTTACGTGATCGAAAGATGGCCGAGGGATTAGAATTTAGATTTCTCGCTCATCGTGAAACATTAGAAAATTGGGAAATTGCCGAAGGTGGGATCGGCAGCGTTAGAAAGCGGATAATCGATTCGATCGACGCAATGACGTACCTCGAACTGCTTGCTCCTTCCAGATCCTCTTGTTCTCCGCGAGGCACGGGATCCAGGGTTTGTTGATTTTGAATCTCCTACCCTCCCCTCCCGAACCTGCAACATCGTCGTTATTGTAAATCGTCGAATCAAATCCTCCTTTGTTCGATCGTTCGATCTCGAAGCTTGTTAAATCTCACCGTTGCTGGGCTCCTCGCCGGTATCCTTGACATTTAACGGCGCGAGAACGGTTTCCAGCATGTCGCTGCACACTTGCATGCTAGGCTCGACGATGAATTCTATGAATCCTATTTGAGATTCAGCCACCAAAGTGTTATTGCGGTCACAGAGAGGAGAGAACGGCAAGCCGAGTTCCCTCTCCTTGTCACCTTGTCTGAAGAACTCTTCCAAAAGTTGCATCGTCCACCTGAAAATAATCGAATTAGCGTTAAAATTCAAATTAAATCAGTATCGAGTAAAAATATTGAATATTAAATCGAGCCTCGACGGAACGAGAAGCGTTACGTATACATTTGTGTATTTCTCGCTCGTAGGGACAAAAGTGAAAGTCAAATTCTCATTTTAGTTTCCGAACTGATCTTTCTTATCACGTTTTAAACAAAAAAAAAAACAGCGCGTAAAAATATCATGGAGGCAATTTCTGTCGCGCATTTGCGAATTAATTTCCAATACACGAAGTTCCGTCGAAGCTCCACGAGCGGATGAGGAGGGGTTTGTTAATGCTCTTCGCAAGTAGAAAGTTTCACCTGTGATGGAGATCCCATCTTTTAGCAGGGTGGGAAATGTCGCAACAATGGAGGACCAAACTAACGGCTTTGCTTTTATCCACACTCGGCTCCGCCAAACTCAGTAGATTCTTCATGTTCTTCAACTGTTGAAAGTGAAAACTCATATCGGTGGCGAGAACCATGTCGATCACGAGCGATCGAAATTCCCGAAATTCCTCCCTCGACAAGTTCTGCAATATGTTGGAGTCATCTTCACGGAGTATTCTGAAACGTATAATAGTAAACAAACAAGGTGAGTAATTCCATTTCCCCTTTTCCTTCCCCGGGTCCGCGACATAAAAATACAAATCTTAATTGTGAACAGCATTTATTAAAGTGTACAGCATAAAGTAATAAATAGAGGGAATTTATAAAAAATTACAAATATTTATTTTATACATATAATTAATTTCATACGTGTAATTATTCTTTGTTTCTTTTATTTGTTTCAAGCGTAGTAAATGTCCCTTGGCAATAATATCTGAGAGACTGGATTACCAAAGTTTCAGCCAACTATAAATCGTCAGGGAGGACAATGGATGCCAATCGCAAATGGAATTTGCACGTACCGGAAGCTGGCCGAGATGTGATGATTTTCCAACACAGCACGGTCGTTATACAGGAGTGCTGTTTCGCTGCCGGACATTACGTGGAAATTGTTTGTGGTCCCAGTGTGCTCATAATCGTGAATAATCGCTGCCACGAGGGTGGCGAAAATCTCGAGATCAGTCAGCCAATGCTGCAACGAGTAATATCAGCCTGAGGCCATCTTTCCGTCTCCTTACTTTTCTCGCGTATAATGCGCGGTCGGACAAAAGATTGTCGAGGGAACGATCAAATCGAGTAGAAAGAGGATCTCTCCTTTTTGCTAGACTAATCAACGACTCGTCCTTTAACGGATCAAAACGTTCTTTTATTTACGTTGTGTTTCGCCATTCATACCTTTTCCGACTCATAAGACACGATGAAACGCGATTTTATCACTTCGTCGTTCCCAAATGCTGTCCACATGCTAGCGCATGCTTATTATAATTGTTTGAAAAAAAAAATTTATATATATATATACATATATATAAAGACAATAGAAGCGGTCTGTACAATATTATATTATCGTTTCAAATTATCAAGAAGACCTAAATTGATCATAATTAAGTTAAAGAGTGGTTTGAAACAAATTTTATTGGAGTAAGTTTTATAATTTTCACGGAAGAGATTTCAATTATATTATCTAACAGCTACACTCTATAATTTAGATGTAACATTTATATTTATTTTTGACATTTTAATTAATTAAAAATGAAAGTGACCCCATCTGATGATAATTTAGTCGATAAATTCGGTAAAATACCCGGTAATTTTGGTAAGCTGTTAAAATGGTAATTTAAAAGAAAATTACAGAAATAATAAAATGTTGATATATATAAAGCCCAAAAGAAGTGTTTAGCTTTTAAGATAAACAAAACACTTGATTTAACTTATATTTCCCATGAAATATTATGAATCTACGTTTGCGTCGAATCACGTCAAAATTACGCGCACAGTTAAATCTGTTTTTTTGCACGTTTCTTTGTTTCTATCAGTGGTACTTAAATATAATATTACAGAGACACCATACATTTACACAGCATATCTTTAAGAAGTATTCACCATCAAGCCCGTTTGACAGAGGATGTGATGCATCGTTTGCGCGACATCGGCAGCGTGAAGGTTGTTGTGGTACGGGTTCCGATGCCTGCAATAGCCCTCCTCGACTCTCCCGAGAAAGCACTCCAAAACTGCGGGCGGTACTTTAAACTTGTGAATCATGCCGTATCGATTGAGGAGATCGTAGCCCAGGTATTTCACCGGCGTGCCCAGCGCGGCCTCGTTCAAGGAAAACACATCGAACGACCAGTCGTCTAAAGTCTTGAAACGGTAAAGCGAACAACTTGAGCATAAAGTGTTTTTTCCTCCCCCCTACAGGAGCATCGAAGGATCCTCGAGCTTTGATAATAATCCCTTCGATCGGAGCCCTCATCTACCTGACTAATTGGTCGAGCCACTAATAAATCCCCGAGCGAGAATCTACAAGTGAGGCCCCGGAGATGTTAATTAAAATAATCAGGGACGCGCGTGTGCCCCCCCCCCCCTCCTACTCCCCTATATATAAGCTCTTCTAAAATATCTTTCCGTAACTGAATTCTCTTCCGCGTATCATCGTTCGCTCGATACAACCCGCTCCCTCGCCAGGCGAAAGATCACCCGTTGAAGCCCGCGAGCACTCCCGATATTACCTTGAGCACTTTCACGACATCCTGCGGGAATTGCATGAGGGCGGTGTTCGTGACCCTCCTGTAGATCCGATCGACGAATATGCCCGCGCGGATGGCGTGCGCGACCGAGCGGAATTTCGGCTTCTCGTCGGCCTTCCGCCTGGTGGTCGCCAGCTGCCTGGTGAAAGTCGAGGCCAGCCATTCACGCACTTCCGGCGGCACCGCGTCCGGCTGCACCTCCGACAGCTCGTCATCTTCGTCCGCCAGCCGCCTAGAGGAAATCGCAGGAGGAGGCGACGTTAGACGCGGGGGACGTTGCCGGACGTGTACACGGTGAAAACGCCTACCTTCGTTACGCTCGATCGAGAGTATCGAGCCGAGACGCTCGATGTCCTCGAAACTGAGCAACTCGCGAAAAGAACCCGCCCTATTCTCAGGCTCGCTCCCGTCGTCGCGAAAACGCGAAACCGCGACTGTAATCGCCGCTACGTTATTTCGCGATTTTCACGCAGACTGCGAATCGCATTATCCGTGAAATTCCCGCCGGTCGCTCCTCTCCGCTAGGAGCCGCGCCGATGGTCGTCGCGCGTTCAAAGGCAAACAGCGTTTATTCCACCGCAGGCTTCGTAAATGACACGCGCGTCCTAGACCGACTATTTTACGGACTGGTCCTGCGGTGTTTTCGAAATGACACCGAGAAGCCCATTCGGTTGACTCCGAATTCTTCGTTCGGACAAACGAACGTTTCCGTTGTGAGAGCGAGAATTTCGCTCTCCGAACTAAACTTTGCTTTTCGTTTTCATCCCGAAGAATCAAACTCTGGCTCTCACGATCGCAACGTTCGTTTGCCGAGCGAGAATTCCGTTCGAATCGATTAAATGAGGTTTTCAGTGTACGTTTCCATACGTAATTAGCTAGAATAAAATACGCGGATGCTATTCTATGTGTTTCTAATTGACTCGCTAAAAAGTTCTATTTAGTATATATGAAAGAGTATTGGCGACGGATTCAAATAGGGATTCACACCAATCACATCGGCGAGACAGTGCGAGATTAAATGTGCGATCTGGACGGCGGATGGAATGTTGCGTCGAGAAAACAGTGGGGTAGTACGTGGGGTGTACGACGTGAGAACGAACCGCTGCGGTCGTTCCCGACCTCGGCCCCGGGTCCGATACGTAAATTGCAGCGGTGATTGAGCGAAGCTGCGACGGATCGTCTTACGAAACGGTCTTCGGGAGTCGCGCCAACATCTCGGCGCGACAATAATAGCGCGCGAACGTTAACGCTACTTGCTAAGTCGCACAAATCGATTCCGTTCGCTGAGAGACAGTACATTACCGGCGTGTGTTCAGCGATTCTCGAATGCACAGGCCACACAGAACAGCCGGGGAATGTTGTGAGTGAGCGGAGATCTAAAGACTAATCGACATAGAAATCAGCAACAAGGATAACACATTCGCGCGTATTTCGGTGAAAACGGAGAGTAGCGAGTTAATGCGAGGCACTTCGTACGCGATCTACAAACTACAGTGAGTGTTGTAATTAGATCTCGACGGGGAGATGTAAGTTCAGTCGTGCCGCGCGAAGAAGCTTCATGCGCGTCGTAAGCCACATCGCCGCGTCATCAGGAAACATCGTGCGTATTTTCTCAGTCCCGGATTTTATGATAATACCACGGCTCTTCCTCTCCCCATTGGCGCAATTTGTAATAATTGCGCCGAGCGAACTTCACGGGCGGAAAGACTGCTTGAATCGCGCGTAGGATTCCGTAGGAAATTCCTCGGAAACGTTTACTCGCGAAATAGTAGAGAAAAAGCACCAGAACCGACGTACTATTTCGCTTTTAGGCTTTAAAGTCCTATTAAGAGCGTAAAATTATATCGATATTGAGATTAATTAATGAGTTAATTATAATGCGCATACGATAATATAATTATGTGCATAATTGCAAATCAGCAACGCTTCTTTGTTAAAATATATGATAGTCTTATGAAAATTATTATGTTTACTTACAAACAACTTAACACTTTAATAAACTTTTTTAAGATGTTTGAGGATTAACAATACTGGAAACTGGGCCCCCAAACCGACATATCGATGACATCTATAGGAAATTATCAAAAAATAAAACAAAAGCATAGAAATTACATTACATTATTTTGTACATTTATTATATATACTTTTCATAGATTATTTTTAATTTCATATATTTATTTTATTATGTGGAAAGGAATATTCTAATTTTTTCTTTCTAGTTATTTTAAACTTTAGGTATGTCATTTTGCCATACTTATGTCAATTTTAGTGCTTTCTCTCTATCATTGCGACATAGACGTAACGTGAAGGTTAATGAGAAAATTAATGGCAAAATTCTAATGCGACACGCTTATATTATCTGTTTTTCCTCTCTTGTCGCATAATTGCACTTTTAAATGCGCCGGAAAATGGCGAACATGTTCGGTGCTCATTATCGGTTTTCCACGAAAATTTAGTACAAATTAGACGGTCAATTTTAGCCGAAAATTTATCCGTTTTAGACCTCAATGTCAAGCGATTGCTCAGTTTACTTTCCCTCTTTCAAGTAAATTATTTTCAACAACAAATATATTTGATAAAAGAATCTTAAAATATACTTATCACAAATTTTATCTAAGCTTGCTATCACGTACTCAAAAGAAGAAGAATGTATTTCCTCTCAAGATTAATTATAAACTTTATCGAAGAAGTTAAAGTCAGTTAATTTGATTAAGTACAAACCGAAGTTTCTTTCAATATTTAATATTTTTGACTGACTAACCAGGATTCAGGATATATTTTAAACAAATTTCATGCTTATGACGAACTTACATCTTTGTTCACGACGAATCTTACGTATTTTGCGGATACATAAATTCGTGAAACGTTACTTGAAACAAGTAACATTTACTCGAGTTGCAGGATGTATTTCTTGTTTTTCATGCGTGCCGCTAAAACAGCCGTTGGTAGCACGCGATGCTCGCGACTGAAAGAACGTATCGAGTGTCCTGGGGCGCGTTCTCCTCGCGCTCAGCACGCGAGCGAGTTACGTCCTGTCATGCAAAGCGCGAGCAGACGCGTGGCGATGCACGAAGCTCGAAGGTGCAAATGAGAGAGTGATCCGCGCATTCTACGGATCGCGGCGAGGAAGTGAAAACTTTTGGGAGAAACGAACCTACGACGTACACCCGGACGACACGTAGCGGCTGACTCCACACGCTCGGCGTCTCTATAACGTGAAACACGAAGGAAACATATATCACATTAAAGGTTTCACATCGATCCAAGCGTCTCGCTACGCGGCAAACATCCCTGCTGCACGCCCGCTGCGTGGGACGACTCGACAAAAAAATAAGGACATCCCTCATTTTCTTCGCTCGCTTTCTCGCAGGCCGCGAAACCAACGACGCGGTTCACCACCAGCTTCCGCTCGGCTTTCCCCGCTGTGATCCTCACCCCCGAGTCGCTCCCACGCACCACGGCGCCCCGCACAGATCCGCAGGGGATGTTTGCGCTATGAGAGGACGATCCGGCGATAAACGTCCTACGTGTACATGCACCCATCTCGGGCAAGAACAGTGCGGGCGAGCCGATAGGAAAACGGTTTGTCGATTGGTCGTTAGAACGATGCGGCAGGCAGACATGTCCGGCAAATTGAGAGAGAGAGAGACAAAAAGAGAGAGAGAGAGAGAGAGAGAGAGAGCAGGTTACACCTAGAAAGAGTCTAAAAGTAGGCTAGAACAGGGGAAGGGGGGGAGGCGAGAGTACAGGCAGGCAAGAGTATGTAACGTTCCCATGCTGTGTCCGCAAGTGTCGTTTCATCCTTCGCGGCGTTCCTCTTATTATTTCTCGTCCCGATTAGATTCAACTAGGTCGATCTGCGGTCGGGGCGCGGAAATGAAATTAAACGAATCGATAGACAGGGTGGCTAACGTGTTTCCCGTCTCACTACATCACGTGGCTCGAATTCCGCCCGGTCGGATTTCGCGCGTATCCCGCGAAATGAATCTGTACATGGGTGTATTCTACGTGGCGTCTACATCAGTAAGAATGCACAACGACAGAACATCGGACGGAGCGATTTGAATTCTCCAACTACTACTTGCGTCAGACAGGCTTATCAGAGAACGCACGACAGCTACTACGGTTATGTAATACTCATCGGTTTCTGTACGGACAAACTAGACTAGGTGGACAATATATACGAGGCAGCTAAAAGTAATATGTATCGACTAGAAGATAACGTAACGTTTAGTCGTTCCCATTCTATCAGCCTATACGACCGTCGCGCTTTACGGAGGAGAGCGACAATTTGGATAGCACAGGCATTTCAGGAGGATAAGATACCCGCCCGGAGAGGGCGGAATGGAAAATATCAAATTCAGCCCGTCGATATTTTACAGACTATGGGACACGATTCGTTTGATATATCGGAAAGCTCGTAGGCTCGACGGTGGCGATTTTAATTACATTTTTTATCACCGCATGTAAAAGGGACGAAATATCTGGCAAGTATTGTTGTCGCTTTTCCGCCGAGCTGATTGGCTGTCAGTCGCGCGCAAAATTCGCGCCGGTGATGAGTATTGGCAGCTTGACATTTAGCGGTCGAACGAATCACCGAGAAACGGCCGGTGGAGAGCAAATAATAAAACGTCGCATAAAATACTGGATATTGCGCGTGAAATAAAATAGGGGAAAGCAAATATAACGGATTGTATTGCGAATCGCGTCCAACTTCCGCTCGAAATCAGAAATTCCCGCTTCGCAATTCTATCGGTCGCGGATCGTTACGTGTAACCCCTCACTCCGAAATCGTCGCTTACCGACGACCGAGGACTCGAATAATAATCGGCGGCTGCTTGGTCGACGCTCCCCCCCCCCCCTTATAATTACCTCCCGAGTTCCCCTAATTACTAAATCACGGCAAATTTCCCGATCCTCTCGCAGGGTCGTCAAGCAACCCTTGCCAGGTGTCGACAGCGGCATCCTGACATTTAACGACATTCGCCGATATTTTTAATTACTCGACGACTCGGTACGTCGCGCGCTCCTGCCGAGTAACGGATAAATTTCACACGTATCGGATAATCGGTGGACGCGGAATCGCCGTCGATTCGCAAGCGACGGCGCCACCGAGCGATCGAAGGGGACGGGGAATAAAATATCCCGGTCGAACAACCGACGTATACGTCTGAGACGCGCGGACGAGCAAGGGAAGCGCGCTCGTTTCGCCGCTTTCCTCCGTGAGAAACGAAACACTCGTCTGTTTTCTCATACACCGACACACCGCGGGCATGCATGCATCGAAACTCCAAAATCCAAGCCTGTCGCTCGCCGCCGCTGTCAGCAACGGTCGTTCTCGATTTTCGAGACAACGCGAACGCGAACCTATCGTTCGGCAAAGAGGACGACAAAGAGCGTCGACGGCACGGATACGGACGGCGGAGAATCGGTAGGATTTCATTATAGGGGGTGGGGGATGAAAACAGGAGAGTTTGGGGCCGGTTGGTTGGAAGGGGAGGGAGGGAGGAATGGGGTCAAATTCGCAGGGAGGGAGGGGGGAATCAAAGAAGGGGTACACTTTTGGGAACGAACGGGGGTCGTAACGGGGGTCGGAAATGTGAATGTTTCGCAACCTTGCCCATACGGGGGTGCGAAGCTTCCGTTTCTGGGTTACCACCGCGTGGCCCTGTGGTCCGTCCGGGTCGCCGCTTAGGGATGAAGACGTCAGGCCCGCCCCCCTACGTGATGACCGAGCGCACTCATTCCCGCTTGAACTCACCCTGCGGTAGTGCTTGTTAGTTCATGTGTGAAAAAAAGATCAGGACAATACAAGATTATAGGTTTCTTTTTCTTTTTTCTCTCTTCTTTCGTCTTTTTTTTTTTCGCTTTCTTTCTTTTCCCGTCGTCGTTTTTTCCCGCTTTGCGTTTCCCGATAATCACGGCTGCGATACAACGCTAATCCCTCGCGCTTTAATGCGACGGGTCTCCTCTCTCGCTAATAGCGGTGGTGCATTACGTTGCTTAGAGATCTAATGAAACGAACGGTGAGCGGAAAGAAAGAAAGAGGAGGGGGAGATGTATTCGATGCGTCGTGCGTCTTCACGGCTGCACAGTGTTCTCGACGGCCAGCCGAAAATCAATGGCATCGTTTAAAGGAGGACGAGGGGTTGCGGTGAGAGAAGCGCACAGGGGAGGTGATATCGTGTTTTCCCGTCGATGCAATTATTGCAGTCGCAGGTGCGCGAGTGTGAAGAAGAAAGAAAATATCAGAAGGAGGGAGAATCAAGCGATCAAGCTCAGGGGGGTGGGGAAGCTCGGGATGAAGATGTACACGAGTGGCCGGCCGCGTGCTGCAATTTTCACTGCGCGCTCGGTGTGACGCGCGCATGAAAATGACTGATCGCGGATAAAAGAGGAATAAATATCGCGAGATGGGATGGTGAAAAAAAATAAATGAAATAAAAAAGGAGCTTTCCTTCCGTTACGAGCCGTGTACACGCGGAAGTGCGCGAGAGACACGCCCCGGGAGTGCAGTTCTGCCGAATCGCGAGGGATCATATTCGGCGAGGTACATCGTTCTCACACGGTAAGACGCGTAATTAACGCGAGACGGTGTCGGGGAGGCGTTGGTGAACTTGTCGGCGATGGCGCGCGCGATAATTAAATTACCATCTCGATCGGAACGTGATCGTAAGTTCGCGTCAAACGGGAGCTCGGATAACGGAGGGCGCGCGGTGAACGGCGCGAAAAAGAAAAATTCACCCTGCCTCCTGTGAGGATTGAACTCACGACCCCTGGTTTACGAGACCAGTGCTCTACCACTGAGCTAAAGAGGCGTCGATGTCGAGCTCGCTCCGGCGAATCCACAGGAGCGATTCCCCGCTCGAGGGAGTTCTCTCTCGTTAACGTTGCAACGTCATAAACATTCAATGGGGGAAACATCGACGCTCTCGTTGCTGCTACTGTCGCGTATAAACATACGTTTATCCCGGCCGATTGATCTCGCCCCGCGCTCGATCCAGGCAAACGGCGGCCTTTTGTCCCGTCTCTTTGATCGCCGAGTAATTGGACAGGGGTTGTGAGTTTCATCCGGCACGACGCATCGCGAGGACGAGGGTCTCTTATTACGCAACCGGGCCGCGTTTCGAATTTGAGCGGCCGACAAACCGCTTGAAAAGTCACCACCGGCCGACCCCGGACGCGAGATAGACCGGCCGAGAATTAATAACTGAACCGAATCAAGCGCGAAAATCACGTCGGACGATCGTGTGCGTACCGTCGAGATACACGAGAGATATTTTTCCTCGTCGCTCGTGTGCGATACTCGCTCGTTCACGTACGTGAGACACGTGTCTCCGATCGACTCGCAACACAAGTGCTTTGCGACGCATCAGCGAATTACACAGCACCACCGTCGCGACACCCGCGTTCGAGTCGATCTCGTCCTTGTCGCGTGCGACAATTATCGATATCGACAGTGCCTACAAAAGAGAAGTAGTTGTTATTTTATCGCGAACCTTTAGCCTCTTCAGGAGGCGATTGCGTGTGTCGGTGGTGCCTGAAAATTTCGGCATGATAAGGAGCAGTATTCGAGGTAGTTAGAGAGTCTCTAGTAACAATTAGTATAGACCATTGCTTTACCGTTCGTAAAAGAGAGATAGATAGAGAGATAGATAGATAGATAGATAGAAAGAGAGAGAGAGAGAGAGAGAGAGAGAGATGTAAGGCAGAGATTGAAAGAGAGAGAGAGTGAGACGAGATCGTCGTATCGGAAAGAAACTTACTTAGTTTCGTCGATGAAAACGGCTTCGAGTACGCGTGCTGCGTAGTGCAGGTTTCGTTGGAGCAGTTCGGCGGATATCTCCCCATGTTGCAGTTGCCTCAATAAACACCTCAGTCTGCAAAAGAGTTATCCCAGAGTTACCTCCTGCCACGCCAATAATCTGCCTTCTAAACTAGACGTTCGATCGCTTTCCGATAATTGCGCGACAAGTCGAGATTGCTAACGCAATTCTGCTTAACCCTCCGAGGCTCAAAGGATCGTATATTCAATCGTCGCGCGCGCGCGCGCGAGAAGGAAGGGGGTGAGAGAGAGGGAGGAAGACAGAGAGAGAGAGAGAGAGAGAGGAAGAGAGAGAGAGAGGGGGAGAGGGACTCTAACGGCGCGCGTTCAATAAAATATTCATCACGAAGGTAAACGAAACGCCGCGCATTACAGAGAGATCATGTGATTAATGTACAAACGATATGTAAATTGCAAATTGCACTTGATGAATTTAATCGGGACGGTTAATAATTACGGATCATTATTTGCTGCATGCCGATAATATCGAACTGATACACAATTTGCGGAGCGTAATCGCGCCACCAGCACGACAGCGAACATCGTCCGACAAAGGTCCTGTTTGATCCTACTGAAAGTCTCGCCCGTAATTATTCAACGAGTGTAGTGACAAGCGCGCGTTAAGTATTCCCGGGTGGAAATTAAAAACGGGGGCTGAAAAAGCTTTACGCAATTCCTACACAATTTCCTACACAATTTTCCCACTCGTGTCTACGTCCTGTAAAGCAAGCCCACTTAAGTCCCAGAAATGATAGAAATGTAATGCTCGTACAAATTAGGGCCAGATTTGTAAATCTAATTAGGCCCTATCTTGATACATCTGACTAGACCATATCTTGTTACGCTATCAATTTATAAAAAAATTCAAATTCTTCTTCAAAGACTTCCAGTTTTTTTTTTTTCAATTTTCCACTTGAACACTATTTGTGTGAACCCAAATCAAAGTTAGTTAATTTGATCTTATTTCGACCTTATTATGGTAGATTTCACTCAAGTCTCTTTAAGATCTTATTTTAAACTATTTCAGCTATTACGCTACTACGGAGAGCACTTTCGGTCGTGCCTCCGAAATGTCGCATTCACAACAGCCGTTAAACACCTGAGCGATATAATACCTGAGGGCGGCCTTGTCGCACGCATCGGGGGTGTCAACGGCAGGGAGCGAGTCCGTCGTGAGATCGACATTATCGAGGATCTCTTCGAGATCGACGGATTGGCTCGATAAATAGCTCGCGTCGGGATTGTGCGGCGGTGGGGAACTTTCGAAGCTCCCCGCAGCGGCGATGCTTTTGCTTTTGCCGGAGCTTCGGCGTACTATCGTCAAAGTGCCCTGTTCTGAAACACAATGAGCGTAATTGATTGACGATTAATGCGATTGCAATGGGGAACTGCGCGTCAATGGTTAAATCATTAACGCGAGTCAAGTCCCAGTTTTTCAGTCATACAAACGTATATTAAATTAACGATAACTATGGTTAATAAGAATAGGTTGTAACTATGATTGAATGAGAATTAGGTGTGGGATTACGTTACAATTGTAGAGGTCATAGAATAAAATTGGCGCCTTATTGTATGTTTATACACACTGGGGGGAAAATCTTTTGCAGGCAGAGCAAATTATCAGTTACCGCAGCGAGAGCAGAAAGATTTGTCACACGAAAATATAATTTTGCTGTTGTAACGAAACGTTGTTACGACAGCGACAAAATTTAGCCGGTAAAACCAAATGATTTTGCCGTCTATACATCCAGCAAATATTTAGCAATTAATCCTCTGAAAAAATCTTTCTGCTGTCCTCATGGTAACTAACAATTTTCCTTGTCAGTAAAACTTTGTCAGTAAAAAATGTTTCTCAGTGCAGCATTCGCGAATATTTCACATGATTTTTAGTGACTTGAATATATCATATATATTTAATACCTATATATATATTTAGTAGCTGTATTACCCAAGTATCCGAATACTAAATTGATACTAGCACAGATTCCCAACCGTCATTATTTTGAGAAATCAAACTGGGATCCCAGTTAGACCAGCGGGAGATTTTCTACGCGGGGATTTCGATGCGTTTCGCGAAGAGGGGAATCGTGCGCGCGCGAATCTGGTCGGTAAACTTAACGCACGGACAGACACGTACGGTAAAGTCCGACTGTTGAGGCGCACCTCAGGAGGTAATACCTGGAAAACTTACTGGGGAGCTGGCCGTTTCGGCCGGGTGAGGAGGGATTGCGCGGCCTCGAGGTCGCCGCGCCGCTGCTGCAGCCGGTAGCTTCGTTCGCGTTCGCCGCTACACCGGCCGAGGCCACTCCGATATCGTCCCTCGTGACTCGTCTGTCCGGCGGAGATGCAACTGCAATTCCAAAAGGAGAGGGAAAAAATTAAAACGAATGATATAACGTACGGCTCAATCACTGTCAGCGATTGCGACAGGCGTCGCGCGTGGGTGTACACGCGTTAAAAATCGTACGACGCAAATCTCTCGGCCCCTTGACAATTCGAAAGCCGAGATTTCCACCTCGGCGGAAATTCAATTGCACGCTGTCGAACGAAGCGGCGGCGCGATGTCAGCGCAGTGTCATTCTTATCTGCCAGACATTAAGGAACGCCACGGCGACAATCGTAAAACGAACAGCAGTTTTCCAAAGTGCCCGAAGCGTTTCTTTCGAGTGAAAGTCCTTTCGCTGCAGTTTTCATACCGCGGGGGAATTTTATCTTCCTGCCGCGCACGCGCGACAAAGCACGAAAGTTATAATCAACTTAAGAATAACCTCAGCCTCACCCTTTTATGTCCTCGGCATAAAGTCCAGCCGTGGGGAGAACAATCTTGCGCAAGATAGAAATCTAGATAAGATAATAACAATGCAAGTTATAACGACACCTGCGTGTCTTTTTTGTCGCGCGTACGAAGCACATTCCACGATTTCGCGTGTATTTTTAATTGTTCATTCATTCGATATTTCATTGTGTTCGTTCTACCGTTATACGAAATATTTATCGCTAAGCCTCTCATTCGTCATATACTTGTAGTTCAGGTCAGTCTGGACAAAAGGTATTACTTTGCAATTTACCCTCTGCGTGCATTTATCTTGTATTACTTTGCAAACCATACGAAATTAACAAACAATTCACTGTCCTAGAGAAACTTTCTTTTCCGTGTAAGTTATTCTGAACAGAAAACCATTTACGATTTCGCAAATAACCACGCAGATTTTTGAGATCGTTAATTCTGCTTATTAATTATATTTTTATTGAATTTTGTTATTAATTAAAGAAGCCTCTCCACATGGCCGTTCCCAATAATTAATAATTCCAATTTTCGAAATTATTTGCAAAACGATAGAACAATTCTTCGTTCACGCACGGAAAAGTGGTATCAGCTCCCTAAAGATGAGGTCTGGTGATTAAATTCCAGTTGTATTATACGGGCGGGCTAATTCCTCCTCTGCGTGCATTGACCTAAATTACAAGTATATGACGGATGAGCGACACTTAGCGACGGACACGTGTGTATAAACGTTGCAGGTTCGATATCAGGCAGATGGAAGCTGAGCTTTTCGCTCGGGTTTCGACGAGCGGTCTCACGTTTATACGCGGCGCGGGTATGCCAAAACTCGCTTCTGCGACGCAACGTAATTATCAAATGCGCCGCGCGTGAAACGCCGCAAAACCGCCGTGATATTCTCAAACGTGATCATAATAACACTAATTCGTCAGGCTACAAAGTAAGGGCCGTGCCGCTGCAGTAAAACCGCGGTTTACTGGCCGAGGCCTATCGATCGGCGGGCAGCGGCTGCCTGTAGCCGGCTGCGAATTAGTCTCATAGCCGATCGATCGCGTTACGGTGCGCGGTCCTATTATGCTAATCGCAAGTTGAAGTGTTTCTGAGCGAGGGAGGGAGAGAGAGAAAGATAGTTCTAATTAGTACAGCGCGGGGTAGCCGATCAGAAGCCGGGAAACAAACACGAACATCTCTATAGTAACAATCATCCGGTCGAACGATCGATATGTATCGCTGTCAATTAGTTGGCGGATTAATTGCTCGGCTTTGATAGCAATGTCCGCGATCCGATGGTTTACGTGCAGTTCATACGGAAAGCGTAATTCTTCGGTGATCGGAGAAGTATGAAGCGCATAGCAGTCAGAGAGAGAGAGAAAGAGAGGGATGAGTATAATTCGGACGAGATTGAAGGAAAAAATTTTGATGTGTTTGTGTAAATCTACCGAAATCAAGTCGGTTTCAGTTCTCGCTATGATATCAGAGATCGCATCGACGAAAGGCGTCGAATCGTACGCGCGAGTCAGGTTAAAATATAATATAATTCGATGACGTCGGATCGGAATTATTAGAACGCCGCCATCGTCGGTTCGGTCACGCGGCTCGCAGATACGAATCCAGATTAAAACGCAATTATGCTAACGCGGCCTGCAGTTAATCAAACGGCATTGTTCGCGTTGTCAGAGGCTGCGCGCCGGTGTCGTCACGTTTATTTAAAACAAACCGCAGCGGAGAGAGCCCTCACACATCAGAGAGTCCTTATCGGTCGCTTCAATACGCGAATATCCAATTTTGCAGGTGTTCGACGGGACTTGATTTCGTTACTTCCCGCTCCGCTCGTTCGTTGCCTCGTATTATTATTTCCGTTACTTGTGTATTACGTTACCGCGAAACTCGGCCGCGTATTTCGCGAAAATATTTCGCCGGAATCGACCGGAAAACGGTATATCGGGGGGAATTAATAGTTTCGATCGAATATCCGCTCCGGGAGAATTCTGCCAGCCGCCCCCACGCGTTCGATGACACGTGGCGTCAAACGCGTCAAAGGGCATATTGGCTCAATAAAAATGATCGCCTACGCGAACAATGCGGATTTAATCTCGCGAAATATACAGCGGAACGCAACTGCGATACGAGTCATTTTCTTTTATTTCTACATCCGAGAGCGGTTCACCGGAGTCTCCGATGACGAGCTTCGGTACGCTCTGCAGTTAAAGGAAAAAGTGCATTCGAGTACATTTTTGCTATTATTTTACTCGGATTAGGTAAATGTTACTTGGACGCAGCACGGTGAGAGAAAAATGTGCTACATTCAAGTGATGTTTACTTGATCCAAGTAAAATAATTACTTCTCAGCAAATATTCGCTACTTGCATAAGCAGCATTCTTTTCTTTCACGGTGTACACAACCGAGATAACCGAAGAGCACCGAAAGCGGAAGTATCTCAAGTTAACGTTACGGTGAATCGCACATCGACTCGATTTACGCATCGTCACTATCGTGTCTAACGGCCGGTATCGTGCGATTTCACCATCGGAAGGAAGCTACCAGATGCGCGACATAAAATAACTCCCGACGTTAATCGACGTGTCAGCAAGCGACGACACGTTCTTCCTCCGTCTAATTCTGATATTAAAGGGCGACGCCCACTCGAACGTCGCGGGTTTCACGCGACATCGTAAAAATTGGCCAAGGATATATCTTCTCTTCCCTTTTTTTATTTTCCACAAGGGATTGGCCGGCACACACATACGCGCGATTTCGAAAGTAATTTTCTCGCGACGAAATTACTTCACGTACGCGCGCGCGCGCGCATACATAGCACGCGAGCCACGTGCACAATAAACTTAATGGGCGGAAATTCGTTGAAAATTAATCATATCCATCTCGCCTCGCTTTGTCGCGTGCGAGCAATAATACGTAAATACGCATATTTCCGAGCAATAATTTTGCGGGTCGCTATCACTTTTCGAAAACACCTTCCAACACCGAGAGAGAGAGAGAGAGAGAAAGAGAGAGAAAGAGAGAGAGAGAGAGAGAGAGAGAGAGAGAGAGAGAGAGAGANCATGTGCCGACGCGACGGCGCGACGGGAGGTTATGAAATTATTCACCGTAAGCGGATAAGCAAACAGACGAGAGCAGAGCGTACGTACGTGAATTATTGCGTTTCGCTTGAATAATGCACGAATCCGCGATGGCAACGAAATGTATGCATTTAGTGCGCGCGCAACGAAATCCATATCTCGTTTCTATATTAATTTACATTTTTATTTCCGCCGTGCACGCGCGCTCTTCTCATGTCGCAAAATCCGCGCGCAAAAAACCGCACGAGCGCGCGCTGAGCATGTTCCGCCGGTATTATGTAATCTAAGTTACTTATATATGACGTACGCCGAAAGTGCCGAAGTTGACCAAGTAATACTTATACCCATGGCTCTTACCCCGGCCAGTGGCGAAACCCGACGGAAACTAATTTAGGTATAGACTTATATACTTGAACCACCACCATCGCCATCCTCGTCGTCGCCGAGAAAGAACGATCGCGTAACGGTGTTACTCTGCCGTAACTAAACCATTAATTGCTGTCACTGGTCGTGCTCGTATATTCACTATTGCCACTATTGAAAATCTGTAGTTCATGTTACGTGTATTACAGATTTTCACTGGAAGAGGAACACATAAAAACCGACGCACCAAATCGTTTTCAGATTCCGGAGGCCTGCTAAAGTAAAATTAAATAATTTATGCGCACGGATGCGAACCAGCAACACTTCTCTGTCAAAATATATGACAGTCTTGTGAATATTATTATATATTTACTTGCAAATAACTTATTTTCAAGATTTTCGAGGATTGACGATTCTAGAAAGGCCGCAAAATCGATATATTCATAATACTTATAAGAAATTAGCAAGAAAATAAAAGTATTGAAATTATTGCAATATTTTGTATGTTTATTATATAGAAAAAAAAGTGTTAAATTAAAAACTTGCCAACGAGTACTAATTATTTATTTGAATCTAGCACTTTTTTCTATGTACATATTCTCACATGTTATCTTTAAATCATACATATTTTTGTTACGTGGAAAGAGGGACCCCTGACTTTCTCTTTCCGATCGATTTTTAAATAAACAAACGAGAGAAACAGGGGAAATTCAGTCACCCGCAGCTTCTGCTATATTCTGTGAAATATTTCAAGAGATTCAGGTATATCGGCTGAAAAACCAGTCAACCAGTCAGGTATGTCGGTTTACAGGACAACCTAATCTTAACTTTATTCTCACGTGACTCAGTGACAGAGGATAGAGATTGGAACAAGATCCGAAGTAATTCGAACAGCTCCGAACTCGCACTATAAGATAGCAATGTCGAATAAATTACTTTCCACTGTTGCTTTACTCTTCACAAGAAGATACCTCAGCGGCGACTTCAGCGCAACGAAAAATCAAACGACGTTATTTAACACAACCTAACACATTTGCAAGCGCAAAGTCCCACTTTGGCTGCAACTACTGTGCAAAGTTCACACGTTTTGTCCGATAAAGTTCGGTACTTCACAGCCGAGAAACATG